TTGAACCCTAAACTCCAGACCCGAAGCCCCAAACAAACAACTTAAGAACCTGCAACCTCAAGAGCCCTGACGCTGCAAGCCTGAGCTGTATCCTCCAATCAGTCTCGGTTCGGAAGTCGGCCGCCTGCGTAGGCGGCTTGAGCTTTGGGGTTCCAGGGTCAAACTGCAAACTCATGCCAAGGCTCGGCTACCTTACGGACAAGATGGGGCCCCTCCACAGCCAGAAGCACCGATCTTGGGCTCGGCAACTCGTTGCATGAACAATCACTTTCCGAAAAGCCTTGAGCTCGAACGCCGATATCAAGACTGTGACTACTAGACACCCCACAGCTCCAACTCCCAAAAGCCGAACTCCCAAAGGCCCTGAGCCCATCCGCAAACATGGTGAAGCCCACACCCGGTAAGCCGAAACGACAAGATAGTGTTCCAAAAACGTCTAGAGTCTAAAGACACACCACCCAGCAAAACAACACCATCTCTTGGGCATTGCGCCCGTCTTGGGATGCTCAACTCGTCATACCGCCGGTTCAGCAGCAGCCTTTTGAGGCTTCAGTGTTCTGTCTGCCATGGGGCTGTTAAGGTTCGATGCGGTGATCATTTCTGGTTCGAGGGTTGTTGAACTCCGCAACTGAGCAGCTGCATTGTCGCAATCATGGTTCGGCAGCTGCGATCTTTCGGAGTCAGCGTCCCAACTGTGTCTAATCATCTACCTGCCTACACATGTATGTATACGTTTGCATGCGAAAGTGTTTGCGTTTTGTCGTATATGGCTTGGCTTGAGTGGAGTTTGAATTTGGGTATCTTGAGCAAAGGTCAGGACTGATGGCGTTTAGTGTTCAAGGCTGCGAGACTGTGGGACAAGTCTCCCTGTTGGCCCGAGTAAGAGTCTGTGGGTTTGAGTTCTGCAACTTGTGCTGCTTAGGATTCGTTGGAAGGACGGCTGCGGAAGCTGTCAGGCAATTGGAGCTGAGGCCTAAGACACCACCACAGCAGTCACAAAACGCTCAACCCTCAGCTCCCTAACACCCGGTACCCGGTACTGCACGCCAAGCTAAGACGCTAACCGAACCCCAAAACTCCAAAGCGCTTCCGAAAGCCACCCGCCAGGGCTCAGCCCAAGATCCGAGATCCCGGCTTCGATGCCTCCAAGGGAGGCCCTGAAAGCTTCTCAGAACCCGGGGCCAATCGGTGCTGCTCTGAAGCTTGACGTTGCTGGCATTTGGGAGTTTCCGAAAATGGGGGACCCTAGCATTGTACCTTAAATAGTAGGATCCCTATTATACGGACCCCAGAATAAGGGAAACTCCCGTTTGTGACACTCACACTCGGGCGAAGGCTGTTATTGATTGATGACTCCTATACCTCCTTCTGCTGCCTTAGTTGTTGTGAGCTGACACGTAAGCCGGCGGTTCGAGGCTCCATTCACAGTCTTTCGAGGCTGCTGGGGTTGGTATTCGGAAACCTTCAAACGGCTCAACCCGTACGATGGGCTGCATCATGACGCTGTCCATCCGTTGTGGAGGCCCGCGCTTCAAGATCTCCGCTGGCAAGATTATGCCAGTGTTGTTTCCAGGGCTACGATTGCGACGTTGTCAAGGGGCCCAAGCGGAGGCTCCCACACTCTAAACCCAATTCAATTGCCTGGCATCACTCGCGGTCATTCCGCGGAGACGACCTATCAAGCTGCGCTTCCTCTGTGCTTTCCAAGTGGCGAGTGCAGAAGTCACCTTATCTTGGGCTTCGAACTCTGGACTCCTCTGGAAGTGCAGGATCCCACAATCCTACAACTCTGGTTCAGGTTCAGGAGCAGAAGTGGAGACTTCTGCGTCTAAACCGTAACTTGCGCCCAAGGTTGCTGCTTGTAGCCGCAAGACGGAAGCCAAGCGGAGAAACAGTTCAGCCTTCCGCAACCTCAGTCTTTGGCCTTCATGCGCAAAGGCCCCCCGAACCTGCCACAAGAGATCCAAGTAGCTGGTGTGCGTGCCCACCCTGGAGAGGCTTGTGGCCTGCACAGGGCCATGAGTGGAGTAATTGTCATTGTGGCCCGTGGGTCGCCATCGCCAATTTCACCCACCTAACCAGCAGATATCACCACCGCATTTAGTTCTTGTGCAGAATCCTCGCCTTAATTCACGTACAAGTGCTTGTACCAAAACCACTTCGCCTACCATGACAGCAACGGCAACAGTAGAACTTATGGCAAGATCTGACGTCCAGAGTTGAGATCTGGGGAGGTCTGTAGCAATTGTAACTGGTGCGATGATGACGATTATTATCTTATGGTGCTAATGTCCAGAGGGCTGTTGGGCAAAGCGTGAGATCAAAGGCCGGTGAACTTTGGGATTGTCCTGGCCTGCTGATGGAACGGTTAAACCCGGAATCAGGCTGCACATTCACCCCCGTGCTTTTGAATGGCTCGGCTTTGGACTGGCTCTAGGAGAAAGCCCGGCTTCAGCTGCAAGATCGATGACGCTGGAACGTGCTTTTGCCACATCCACTTCCACCCACCAAAGCATGCACGTACCACTCGCTGCTCTGGCCATCGCGAACTCACCAGTGCCCCGTGCATGAAATGTGGCAGAACCCGTTTTACCCTGACGCAGAAATGAAAAAAACCTCGAGTGGTGTAACAATTTCTCAGCACTTGCACCATTGCAACCTTCGTTCTGAGAGCATGCCGCTCAGGTTTACAGAGCTTTCCAGCAAGGAGCACCCGAGTGTTCGAGCTGTGAAACGGACCTCCGGCATCAGCCCTGGCTCCTGCGCTTTCCCAGAAGCGTGTGAAAGGCTAAAGCGTGCTAATCCGTCATGACTGTTCTTGGATGCTTAGTCCGGTACCTCGACCGTTTTGAAAGACCAAGTCGAAACCACTGGCATGAACCCGGCTACCCCGCATGGTCTCATAAGGATCTCAGCAATCATTCCTTTGATGTGGACCAGCGACATCATTCTTTTCTGTCGCTCCGAGCAAGGGCGTCTGCAGCACTGTCGACGGCACATCCGCAGAAAGCTGACATATCTCACCATGTCTGCTAAGCCAATCCTTGCTTCAAAATATTGCTTCGCGAGGCAAAAGGACAAATGCGGATGCACGGGCTCTGGCAAATTTGCTTTGCTCACGGGAGGTCTTCGCTGTCACGCCTCAACTGCTGAGCTTGCCGGACTTGCTTGCAAGTGGTCTCTGGCGACTATTGCTTCTGCTGGCCTCTGCAACCACTGCTTGGGCTTCTTTCGCTAGTAACTTCAAAATTTCAAAAACCTAAGTCAAGTTCCGATATGCACACCAGAAGCTAGAGGGGTCCTCGTACGTTGACTGTGCGTTTCCGAGATCTGCAAAAGCTACTGTTACTACTAGTACCACTGCTACCCCTCCGGACTACCACCACAGCCACGCCACCACCAGCAACACCAGTACCACCAGCTCGACGACGACGCCAGTTTCACTACTCGCTACTTTACTACTACTTGCTCTTCATGCTGCTAGACAGACACTGATTGCTTGGCCGTACTAAGGCCACGACTTTCGGTTCCTGCCGAAGTCTCTCTGTATTCGGCCATGCTATGGCAGTTCGGTACTTTCTAGTTCAGTTTGTTCCTGTCATGTTTTGAGCCATCCACCCCTACCGTAAAGCTCATCCTTCCTCCCTCCTCCCTCGGAGCAAACAGTTTCCCTCCCCTCACTCTGAATAAACTTCGCCCAGGGTCCGTCCGCTGCACAAGGTGAACCTTGGCGAGGCTTCAAAGAGCTGGGGCTGCTTGCGAACAGCGATTCGTCCTTCCATGAGTCGAACATGTGGAGTCTCTGTGCAACCACTGTGCAGCGGCAACTGCGCCGAAGTATCCTAAAATCTTGGTAGCTGAGGCTCCCCGATCTCGGAGGTGAGGACATCCCCTAGCTCTCCGATGCCGAGCCTCGGATTCGAGAGCTTTACTCTCTTTCGCTCTGAGGCGGTGCAAGAGTTGCTGAGGGTATGGGCATGCTGTTGTCCGGTTTACGATAATGCACAACCTCTCTGCGCAGGCTCGGCTCAGGAGCAGGCAACCATGTAGCCAACGCTTGATTGCTGCAGCTGTATGTGCGAAGGGCAGCTGCATAAAAGGTAATTACTCAATCACTTTCAATCTGAAGACTTCATGCTAAAAGGGATGTCGTCTTTATCGCTAACACTAGCCAAATACCTCCCTGTACAGCTAGTACTTATATCGAAGATTAGGTTTCAAGTGTCTAAGTTAGAACTCCCTGTTCGGGTATGACAGCTGGCCCGATACGAAAGACTTCTCGTTCGGCCGTCACAACGAAACCCTAAACATCCAAAGCCAAGATGGAAGGAAACCTAGCAGGATTGAGCTGTTACATACGCAGTTGCACTCTAACATGTGAACAGGAAGATCGGTACTACTGAAGAAGTGATACAGCATGATGTCAGCAAGCATCTCTCACCGTTTATTGCTACGACATGCAGCGACAGTCAAGTCTGACATTTGCCGATATGTCTCCACTGAAGTGGCAGTATCACAGATGATGAGGACAGCAGGGCACATGATAAGTGTGCGTTGGTGCGCATCGCCCGGCTTCAGCATACATTTCAGAATATTTCCTGTGCGAGCTCGAGGGGGGCAGAAATAACCAAAGGACCCTACTCTCCATGCGCGCCGAACAAGGAAATAACAGCAAAGCGCCCAGTAATACACATCGGTAAATGGCGCAAGCAGATCCTCTCCCTCGCAATTGCAAGGGTTTGGATAGTTTCAGGTATCAACCCCCTCGAGGAGTTTCGACCCCCAGGCACTGCAGTTGTCTCAAACGTCGGAAGCAGAGGCTCCAGATTACAACATCAACGGACCCTAACAGTTTAAGGGGCCGAGGCCATGAAGCGGGCCCCTCATGGAACCGTGAGCCGCCCCTTTAAGCAGCAGTCCGTGCCAACCCGTAGCCCTTGTAAGCCTTCCCTATAAGAAGACCCTTCATCTTCTTCCCCTCTTTCACAGCTCTGAGGGGCTCCACGGCCGCCTTCAACACGCTGCTGGGAAGCGGCAGCTTGGGAGGCGCCTGCGACGGCAGAAAGAGAGGTCGTTGCATTGGAGTTGTCGGGGCTTCTCTAGGTTTACGATTGTTGTGGGGCTTTACGCTCTCAGAACTCGGACATGTCGGGTGAGGTCTCTCCAGGGGCTCGGGTCCAAGCACTCGGGAGCTTGGGAACTATATACTCTTCACGGCCTGTACTGCTTATACTTGGCTTTTTATTCATTTGCTGCGCACGCGATGCGTACTGGAAATCATCAACTTGAGGCTCCCAAAGTCCTGGCATTCGTCGGGCCAGCTCCCACAACTAACTTCCGGATGCCAAATCTCTCTTTCTTTCGCGAGGGTAGCGGAAGAGGGAGCGACCCTCTTCCCCGGCGCTTAGCGCCCCCCCAAATTCACTCTCTTGCTTGCTTGCTTGCTGAGGGCTGTGGGCCCTAAAAGGACCCTGGCCCGAAGGCCTACCCCCGCAACGGTCCGCAAATCCCGCAGTTCGAGTGGCTCTCTCTCTCTCTCTCTCTCTTTCTCGCTTCACTTCACTTCGCAGGGGAAAGGCTCCATGAGCCTGCGCCCAGGCGTCCCCTTTCCCCTTTTTTGGTGGAAGGGGCATTGGGGCTGTGTTGCTCGGGGCCGTTCCCCGGCTGTTTGGTAGAGTCTATCTGTCAGTCAAACCACCCCCCTGAACACTAGCCTGCATCCCGGCCTCGTCCCCGCGCTCACTACAGCAAAGTCCTTAGGCCTACGACAGACAAGTTCCCCCTGGTAGTTACAGTGGCCTGATTACACTTCCCCGATTCTCTGCAACACTCTGCCAAGGACCGGACCTAGAGTTTTCGGGAAGTGTGCAGCAAGGGTCTGGGTGGATAAACATGCGAAGCATACATGTTTCACAGTACATTCCGCCACTGCTACTGTTTGGCCAGGCTTGATCGACTACTACACGTGCGGGGTTGGAAGCACACACCGTTGTAACAGACACCGTATGGATCACAGGACTGTCCCGCTTTTCGCGGCTACTATACTTGTGGGGTTGTTCGAAGCACACACCGTTGTAACAAAACATTATGGATCACAGGACTATCCCCCCTTTTGTTTGCTCGCCTAAAGGCTGCAGTTGTTTGACTGAGTGAGCGGGGCTTCCTAGCAACACCGGTACCCAGAGACATGTGTATCACAGGACTGTTTCCCCCTTTTACCCACTTAGACTGATGGCGGGTGGATCTTGGGTACGCGCTTGACTATCTCTTTCTTCTTCAGCTCGGCCAGAGGGGTCGGTTGCCATCTCTTTCTCTCTCTCTCTCTCTCTCTCTCTCTCTCTCTCTCTCTCCCTCTCTTCCAGGTGGGAGGCAGGGGCAGCGTTCAGGCCCCCACTCCGTGCGAGTCCGCGCGGGTGCTCTTGGTGGGAATGGCTTGCGCCCCAGAGTTGTTCTCCGGACGGCTCGGCTATACACGAACTTTCCAAGGAGGTAAGTCCCCCGCTTCGAGAAGGACAACAACTGTTTTACCTGACTCACAGCTAGATCAACGTCCAGCAGCGGGTGCAGTACTCTTCCGGCTAGAATGCTTGCAAGTCTCGCTCGCTCGCTCTCTCTCTCTCTCTCTCTCTCTCTCTCTCTCTCTCACGCGCTCGGAGATCCGTCATGCGCAGTGGCACAAACTGGTCTTCAGAAGTATGTTAATTACTCTCAAGCATGGGAGAGATGCATTACTGTGAGCAACGGGACGCAATGCATCAACATCCATAAACTACAACTTTGCTCAGAAAACCCTGGACATGCGACGTAAGTCACGAATGGCCAATCGACGTAATTAATTGATGCTGCTCAAACAGCCCTGAAACCTCAACAAACACACCAAGTTGGGCCCGCCTTGTCTTTCTCTTGCTTTTGCTTCCTGACCGCACAGCAAGTTTCATGAAGCTTGCACGGGTTCACCCAGGATCAAGCCCTCAGAGGATCCCTTACAGGGCCCTGAAAGACCTTCAAGATGCTTTTCAGTGCCAGGCGCTGGGCTTCCGGATCCGGGCGGTCGACCCAACCGAGGTCTCCGGCCATTTGTCCGCCTTTCAAAGCAGACCTGGGCTCGGATCGGATCCTACACGGCCTCAACAAGCATGGAGGCTCTCTTTGGGCTTCGGGTTCAGAGTTTACACTGTCATTCTTGGCTCCCTTACGCTTCCCGATTCTGCCCGCTCTGCCGTTTCTGCGCTTGGAGGCGGGATCCTGTTTCAAGAGGTGACGTTGAGCATGCAATTGCTTCAAGTAGAGATGCTGGGAACCTACGGAAGTCGGGGTGAAGACGACTACTACTGTTTGCGAAGAGACCGCGGAAACAGGGCATCAACTCAGACTGGACACCAAATAGAGGGTGTCCACTACATGGCGGGACACCGTGGCAAAGGATGGCTTCAGGGAACTGAGCTGTAGGTACTGTTTGAAGGTTGAGACCCTGGGTGATGAGGACTTTCGACGCACTGCTTGGAGTCTCCCGATTGCGCTTCCATGATCTTTTGCGTAGTCCAGCGAGTTGTTAGCGGAAGGATTTTTCGCTAAAGCGCCCGATCATGAGGCCCTTCCGACTGGAACCGCCCTGCCAGGTGCCGCACGCGCACTCAGAGACTGACCTGTTCGCCGAGCAATCAAGATGGGCTCAGAATTGAATGCTTGGAACTCTTGACGTTTATTGGTAACCGGCCCCCCGTGCCCTCTGCGCCTGCAAACACTCGGGAAGCTCGCACAAGCGTCGGCCATGAAGTCGTCCACAAGCCTTCAGTCGGGATTGCAGAATCCTTCATCAACGACGGCTTCGGAATTTACGGGTTTCTCGGATCTGACTCACACAGGAATTGCGCAACCTTGGAATCTGAGCCTTTTGGATTCCGAGTCTCGGGTTCCTCGTTGGCCCAAAACTTCACTCAAAGCATCAGTTTAGTAAAGATACACTTTCCTCCAGGAGTCGCGAAAGTAGGAAATGTAGAAATCCTATCCGTGCGAACAAGTGGAGCTGCAAAACTCAAGGAGAAGAAGAGAAAGCCGCGGGCTTCAGCATCTTCTGCTCGGCATCCTCCCGACTCCGAGTCACGGCCTTGTGGCCTGAGACGAAGCAAAAGTCTCCCAGTCGGTCCCGCAACGTGGGTTCACTTGCGATGAGCAGCGGAGGGCCTAATTAAATTCTTCGAAACTTGCCAGTGGGGTTACATGGACTACATAGCTATTTAAGGAATGTACGAATCCACAGTGATTCGCCTCGCCCGTGGTGTCAAAACGAACATAAGAATACATAAGGTGACGACTCTTCTCATTGCAAGGAGGCCAACGCTAGCATGCACCTTTGTAGAAGCAGTGCTTCTGCGACAGTGATTCTCTGCTACAAGTAGCAGCTCTGCAAGTAATCCTGTCAATACTGGTGACAGTGGTAGCGCTCACTGCATTACCAGCATTGCCACTTCCCCACAAGAGAAGCGAGAATCATTGCAAAACAATTTATACACCTTGCGGGGTGATGACGCGACTTTAAGCCCCAAAAACATTCAGCGAAGCCTTTCGAAATCCCAGCAACGTACCGGATCCTTCGCCTCCTTGGACCCGGCATAGCGGAGGAGCACCTGCGGGGTCAGGAGCGCTTGGGTTGAATTATAGGGGTCTTTAAGCTGGAGTAGGGCTTTGGCTGCTGCTACTGCTGCTGCTGCTACTACTACTACTGCTACTACCGCTACAACTACTACTACTCAAGCACAAAGATAGACACACACAGAAACACGTCCATGCTGTGTATATATGCATATATACATACATATACATATACATATACATATACATATACATATACATATACATATACATATACATATACATATACATATACATATACATATACATATACATATACATATACATATGTATGTATGTATGTATATTTGAACATTTAAACGGCTTCTTCATTGCTCGAGAAACCCTTCGGAACAGCATCATAAACTCCGCATCCCGCTATAGTAGACGAACTCTTTCGGTCGGGGGTGCTGGCCGTTATTCGCAAAAGCCACGATTGTTGGGGGATGACAATTTTTCGCCTGTGTCAAGTGTTCTAGCAGGAAGGACTGAGGTCGCAGGAGGAGCGGGGCGCCCAACATACTGAAACAGCAACCTGTCCCCCATCAAGTCTCAGCAGGCTCCCATGCACCGAAAGGAGCTTCCTCCGTTCTGAACATGTGTCGGAGTGAAGACGAACCTTGAGGATCCCGAAACCTTATGAAACAAAGAGATCGCAAGGGAGCACAAGCCCAACCCCCGTGACCGCCATGGGTACCTGGCGAAGCCGGACTTTGCTAGGCCTGAGACAAGATTTGCGCATGCAAGGATGTCGTTTACGCCATAGGCCCTGCCGTGCCAGTTCTGCTACCCCGAGTACTACTACTACAGCTGCTGCTACTCCTACTGCTAGTACTACTCCTACTTGTCCTACTTCTTGTCCTACTCCTACTGCTACTACTACGACGACGACGGCGACGACAGCGACAACTAACTACGACCACCACTCCCACTACCACTGCCCGACCCCTACCACTAGCAGGCTACGATTACGACTACGACGTGACGACTACTACCACCCCTACCAGTACCATTTACCACTACTATGCCGACTGCGAAGACTCTCAGGACAACAACGACGACGACTACTACTACTACTGCCACGGCCGCTGCCACTACCACTACCAGAACTACCACCACGACTAGTATTACTGACACCACTTACTACTACCACTACTACTCCTCCCGCTGCTGTTGCTGCTGCTACCACTACTACTACGACAACGGCCTACCACTCCTCCTGAAATAGTGGAAGTAGCATTGAAACTGTAGCGTGTTGGAGTGGTAGGGGTCCTCGTAGCGACTGCCTCGACCGCCGAGACAGGAATTAGTTTCTGGTTAAAGGTAACCGCATTTGCAACCCGAGGCAGCAGGTGAGAGCAGCAGAATCGGTACGGTAGACATACTTTTGAGTAGTGTCCGTCTGGGTTAGTGGGAAAAGGGGCTTTAACTCCCTGACCCAAACGTCTTGGTCAAGGGCCCGCTCTCGACGCGAGGGCGCTTGCTTGGCTGCGACGCGTCAGCTGCCTCTCGACTGGCAACGAAGGCTGCGATGTATGCTCAAGAACAACTCGCCCGAGCTCTCACGATCGTCGGCGCTGTGCACGCAAACCTTGTCAACGATGTTTCGCAAAAACTGAACCCAAGTTTAAACTAAACCCTAAACGCAACAGGTCCTCAATGCCTCCTTGTTGGCCTCATCGCTGCTGGGCCCAAGCCGGGCCAAGGCTACAGCCGCAGGTGGTGTGGCTCGGCCCGCGGCGCGGGCCTGTCTTGGGTTTGAGCTGAGGGTTTTAGGGTTTAACCTGGACAAGCATGTAGCGGTTTCAACACGTACAATTCGGCACAGCCAGCCGTGCTTCACCAGTCCAAGACGAATGACGGAGTACATTGCCCCCCCCCCCTCGCTGCTCCCGACTCTCCTCCATATTTGGCGTTTTAGGGCCAGGGGGTCTGTGGTGCATATACAGTGGGCAGCAGTTTGCCTGGACCCTACGGAGCCTGCTTGATTAGGGTGCTATGTATGTAGCTTTTGTCGGTCGTCTGCCAACAAAGCCAAGTTGCCTAGGCTGTGGCCTCATTCTAAACGTGCTCATCCGGTGCTCGGCTCTGTCCCAGTTTGGATCTCCTAAAACCCAATTTGGTCGTACGGGTTAACATGCAGCAATGTGCCAAAGCTTTGATTCACCACCCTGGGCTTCTTCACACATACTGTGACTAACTAGCCTTGCAAGTGAGCCATGACCGTCTTGTTGTAAGGAATGATACTGATATCATTATTACTAGCAGATATTTACAGTACAAAATACACACATATGTATGTATATGCTATATATATACACACAAACCAACGAGTGAATACTGATGTAAACAACTAATTGGTAAGTAGGTGATAAAAAATCTTGTACGTACAATGATATGTGTAGGTATGTATATACAAATATACACATACACAAACGCACATGCGTCTGCATATTTGCGTGTGCAGGTGGATACACAATGAGGCACGCATGTGAGTCAGTACCAAGACGAAAACATAGCGCCCTCGAGAAATCAATGCAGATGAGTGTAAACCCAAGTAAACGAAGCAACCATGATTAGGATGCAAACACAACACAACAGGTAGATAGATGAATAAACAAAGACGAACAGATAGACAAGCAAATCAAATCGACACATAAATGGGTACAGAGAGAGAAAGGTGGGTAACTAGATAGATGGATAAACAGAGCGATGGATAGGTGCAAGTAGATCCGCCGAAGCTTTGCGCTTTCTCGTGGCAGCCTTTGCATTACAGTCTACAGTCCGGTGGGGGCATTGTCAAGGCTTAGCTTTAGATCATGCGAAGCTCGCATGCCTTCCCTCATACACTTTTTCGAAAGCAGTCGAACTCAGAATTCAGAGATTCGCGCCTGACGAAACAGCGCCAGCCTTGGCCGTGTGTTGGCTTGGAGTGTTGCTGCTGATGGACATGTATGCAGTTAGAACGCTTCCAAGCAATGTTAAAGACTTGCCTTGGAAACCGTGGATGTGCGAGCAACGCGTCGTGCGATCGAGATTACCAAGAGTGCCACCGCCTGCAAGGATTTTGGGGCACGACAGTCAAAAGCACAATGAAGTTTGCTGATAACTTGCTGTGTGGCTATGCAGTACCCTTTTTCCTAGTGCAAGGCAACTGTCCGTTTGCCCATCAACCCTGGCAGTTTCAGGCTGGAGCTACCTAACAAGGCTGCGCGAGAAGTCGCTGCCATCTTAACCAGTCTTGCGCTACCGGGTTCGCTCGGCGAAAAATCAATGTGTTGTCCATCCATGGTATATGTCGGGAGTGATGTGCATCTTTGATCATTCCAGTAGAAGGAGTCACCCAGTATTGATTTCCAATGTCTGCTAAAGCAGGAACCCTCTCCGTATCTTGATGTCGTAACCGTATCTGTGCTTCGGTCATGCCTATGCAGAACCCTAGGCCTAAACAAACCCTTTTGCATCTGGGCTTGGGAAGCCGGCAGGGGAAAGTTACAAAATCCAACGTTGAAATTTGCGGGAAGGCGCCAGTTTCAAACTTGCCGAGGCAGTGGCCCACCGGCTCGACATCTTTGCTGCGCCACATGCGGCAGTGCCGCTTCGAGTGCCGGCTCGGGCCTGGACGCGCTTTGGAACGGACTTTTGGTTTATGGTCGTTTTAGGTTTTAGGGCTACTGCTCAGGACCAGCATCAGTGCAGGGTTGATGTTGGGGCCCATGCTGTGCTACTTCAAGACAGTCCTGTGGGATGCAATCGCCAGTTTACATTTAGAAATGGGTTCCCAACCATCTTTAGGTAGCGTTTGTCTGCGGTACAGAGATTTTTTCGCCACAGCTACTGATGTCAGCCAACCCTACGACTGCCTGCAGGCGCCTGATTCAGCTACCCTATAATCCAAACATAAACCTGACAAACAAGCTGTAAGTAGCTGTAAGCATTGCCCCACGCAATATAGGAGCCTTAACAAATAGAATAGGCTTTTGGGGCCCATTATACAAAAATTGTAATAAGGAACCCCAAGAAGATTATTGGCAATGATTTAGGCCCCTATTTTAAAGCTGGAGATCCCTTGCTGGCCCAAGCGCTGATCCCAAAGATCGCCGACACCAAGGCCAAGGACCAAGGCGTCACTCGCATCCAAATGCACGCAATGCCTTGTTATGTGGGTAGTTGTCAAAATTATGATCGCTTTTTGGGTACCCTAAATATTAGGTGCCGTGGTATATTCAGCACCCAAAAAGGGACCATCATTTTGACAACCACCCATGTAAGGCTTTCAGGGCACGGGTACTTGCCTGTGATGCTGTGAATTGCTCTCCTTGTTAGGAGGTTTTGTTCAAGAACTCTGCAATACTTTACCACGTGCAGGGCATCCTAAGACTTACTTAACCTCTTTGGTCGTGCTGGGAAAAGCATTGCTTTGAAGGGTCAAGTCCTAGAAGTCTCTTGTTTGCGGCGTGCTGGGGAACTTCATCGGGTTTTTCGTCTCGGGGATTTTTGTCACTCGTGCTCGACAAGTCAGACGAGGGTTTAGCAACTGAAGACACTACAGATCAGGTCAGCCCGCATTGGGACCAACTTTTTCTACGTTAACAAAGTTTCAGCGATCCATCCTTCAACCGGTTTGTTCTCGAGTCCACAACCATCCACAACCATCCAGGCCCATCAGCAGTTACGACAAAGTTGATGCCGCAACCAAAAACAATCGCGCCTCAAAAAGCAAGAAAACAAGGCACGAGCCAACGACATCGAGGAGCCTTCAATCCTACAATCCAACAAAGGATGGCAAGACAGGAATAGGCACACAGATCAAATATGCTTCTCCGTCTCGAGGGCCACCCCAGTCGAGGGCATCCACCCCTCAGTGGTATTTCCTGAAGGTGTACTGTCACAGATCCAACCCGCTCACATGCAGTAGGTTCAGGCGAGAAAAGCCCCCTCAGCCATGTGGATCCGCAGGGGGTCTGTAAGAGGTCGAATGTGCGCCTTTCTTCAAGCTGCCTCGCAAGGCTACCCGAAACGCAAACATCTAGCCCTAAGCCAATCCCGAAGCACCAGCAATGCAGAAAAGACAACTGCAAACCTTGATGCGTGTGGCTCACAGCAATCGCATCGGGTTTATACGACTTTCGCCTGAGCATCCACGACACGTCCACGATCCTCTATGTAGAGGTCTTGACAGCGGGATAATCACCACAGCCTAGGCTATGCCAGAAAGTATGTCCAGGTCCTTGCAGCAGAACAGTCAGTGCACAGTCGGTGCATTTTTGATTGTATCAGAAGGTCCAAGAGTTCGACACATCACGCGCCAGATTGACATGACTGGTCCCAGGGGCCCCCAGCGGCCCATGACAAATACGCCAGTCTCAGTGAGGCCAGTAACACCCTGCAAGGGGTCACTCTTCTCACTCAGGTCCATTGCTTGTATCCAATCCAGTTTCCGCCAATAAAGCGCGCAGCAAGTTTTCAGCAAGTATCGAGAGCACAGCACCATGGCTAAACTCCTACTCAGCAGACCTACACACGAAAGGCTCAAGCAGCCTGTTGCCAGTCCTTCAGATATAGGGGAATATACCCCCAGTTGTTGGCCCCCGGTAATGAGCAAGTGAGGGATACACCTCACAGCAGCCTCCGAGGGGAGGGGGAGGGGGTGGGCAGGGCAGGGCAGGAGGAGGGGGAGGGGGGGGGGGGGGGGGACATCACCCATGCAGCACCACCCAAGGGTCGCAGCAACATCCATCCATACACGCACATTTTCGAAAAGTAGGCAGAAGCACACGCACCAACACCAGGGGCAACCGCACAAGTATATGACATCCACCAAGCGTCATAAGCATCACACCACCACAAACATGGCCCCCTTTCAAAGACTGCGCTCATGAGTCAGCATTTCCACTGTCGTCGGACTCCTCGACTGGTTTGCTCTAGGTGTATGTACATGGTGCCCACAGCCTACGTTGTGGCTGTGGAGAGGCTGTACGGCGGCTGTATGTTACTAATTGCTCGTGTCCAGGTATCCACAGGAAAGGGAGCACGAAGCAGGAGAAAAAACAGTGCAGTGCAAGGTAAGGAAAGGCAGGAAGGCAGGCAGTGCATTAAAAGCAAGGAAAACAGTGCAGGGAAGTGAAGATTAAAAGGTGCAGCAGTGCAGGGGAGATCCCCAAAAAGGCTTACAGATCCAGGTGTCAGCCGATGACCGGGGCCCAAGCAAGACTATAGGTAAAAACCACAACTCATAAAAACCCTCGACTCGGCTGACCCCCGGATGTATGCAGCACGGCAGTGAGAGGCCTTCCAAGGCCTGCAGACTCGCAGGAATCCCACTTTCACGGTCCATGTTGCACGGCCGCTGCTGGAACAGGAAAGACTTGCCCGTTCCAGACCAAGTTCACCATCTCATTTGCAGGCGAGTTCTGCACCACACTTCCTTGCGACATGTGGGGTGCATTATGTGGCACCTGAGGTGTAGGCTGCAGGAGCTGCACATGTGGAGCCAGCCGCATCGTCGGTGCTGAGACGGATCCCGCACGTGTGGCCGAGGGCATACACGGCCCCACTGTAGGCCCGGTCATGGGCGGCTGCCATTGGCCAGGTGGTTGCGAAGGTGGGGGCAAAGGCGCCTCCTCCGCCGGCATGTTCGGCGCCGGTGAGCTTGGGGGCGGCGCTTTGGGTCGCGCCGCTGCCAGCTTGTTGGTGGACTGCTCCACCGCCACCAGCTTTGAAAGCGCAGTCTCCATGCGTCCTTCGAGGTACTGTACCTGTGTCTGTAGCTTCTCCATGTTCTGGTTCATCGCCTTCATCTCAGTCTGGAGGTCCTTGACAGCCACCAGGATGTTGGTGAAGTCGGTACCCCCATCAACACTGCCTGCTGGTTTGGTTCCGAGGGCAGCGTGTATGGAGTCCAGCTTCCTGTGGGCATGCTGGAGGCCTTTTCCAACATCTGTGCCGACCGTGCTGATCTGGTTCCCGAGGGCATTGAGACGGCCATTTTGGTCCCAGGTCGAGTCCTCTACAGCCTTCAAAGCACGGGTCGCAATGTCCTCGATGGAGATGATGACCTCCCTGAGGGCACGGATGTCAGCTCCATGCTCCGGTAGAGGGCCCAGTGTACTCTTGAGCCCCGTCAAAGTTGGCACCACCAAGGATTGTAGTGGTTCGAAGGCATCTCTCATGGCGGCCTCCAACCTGGGTTGGGAGTAGATGCTCCCGTCCAGGAGACGTTTAAGCTCCGTCAGGGTGGAGGCAAGATGTTCCTTGTTTCTGTCAGCTGCGGCGTGTGAGGAGTCCTCCACCCACATCTTGACGTCTTGCAAGCTCTGTCGAAGTTCTCTCAGGGCCTCCACCTCCATGGTGGTGAGCGGCTGCGGCAAAGCCTCCGCAGGCGCATCATCATCCTTCTCAGGAGAAGGAGTGGCGGATTTTGCTGGAAGGTCCTGGACAGCCGACCCCCCAGCGTCGCCTTGGTCTTCTGCTCCAGTCGTGCCTGTATTCATGGTCTTGGTGTCAACAAAGGGAGGGTCCGATGCCAGTGCCGAAGGGGCTGGCGCCGACGGTGGATCCCGGCTCTCCTCCTCCTTGACTTGGGTCATGGCATCGCCCAGGTTGGTGGGTGCTTCCATCACTGGCATCCACTTTCTGAGGTAGCGAAGGAGTTGGAAGCAGTTGTAGATCACGAAGCAAGCCAGCAAAACCCAAGACAGCCCGCCGTTTGGGCTCAGCAACCAAGCCCCTTTTTCCCATGCATCGGCGTGGGTCTGAAGCACCACATGCTGGTGGGGATCCGCAGGCACCACACGTGCCGTTGATTGAAGAGGGACTCCAGCCGGGGTGCCACGGTCCGAGATCTCCATGAAGACGGCCCTGGGATCGTCACGAGAGTCCATCGCTTCACAAGCGGCGAACCTAGAAAAGACTTTCCGGGCGGAATTCGAGAGGAATCTACAGCGGATGCTTCTTGCGTAAGAAAGGAATGCCACAGTGCTACCTTGACCGAGACATGGGTGCAACGAAGCAACCGTAGTGCAGCAGTGCAGGCTTCACTCGCAGACCGTTCTGAATACCAAGTATTGAAAGGAGAAAGAAAACCCCCTCCTAAGATGCAGAGAACATTCCAAACAAACCAAGGACTCCACAATCCAAAGACAACTGACTCTCATGTTATAAGAACAGGCACATGTTTCAGCACCTGATGGCAAGTGGCAGTCGCGGGGATACTACTTCAGGCTACCTGCGGTCGATCGTGTAGGCCCGCTCTCTGCGCGGGGACGCCACAGCTTACGACACCTTCCGTTCCAGAGCCGTCCTTTGAGGGACCCTTGGGCGAATCATCTGACCTCCCGTAGAAAAGCCCGGCTGCTGGTCCTCATTCTAAAGGCACTCTGTAGGTTTCCGAGCTAGGCGCGTTGCGAGCTTTCAAGCTGTAGCGAGAGGCCAAAGCACAGAAGGTTGGGGTAGGCCCCCAAAGGCCCCAGCCCCCCAAGATGCAGCTTGACTTCTCAGCCCCGGAGTCGGCAGGTCAGAACGTCCCCAAGGCGCAAGTCTGTAAGTAAACACCGAGGGCGAGGCCATGGAACTACCCTGGGCGACTGACGGCTTAGGTCGATACTCTTACTGACTGCAGCTAAGGATCTCAACAGGGGCCAAGTCGCCCAGTCCAAAAACAGTTCAAGTAAGGCAAGGGCAAGGGCAGGCAGTGCAGAAAAGCAGCAAGAGGGATATAGGCGCGCTACCCGTAGAGGCCTTCAATAGGGGAAGGTCCTAAAACGATGATCCAACAGGGTAGGTGCATACCAGTATTTTCCCAAACAATAGCTTCAGCAGTACAGTCTATGCGCCCGGTCCACTCCACTACTTCACGATGATAAAGTAGAACATCGTCCTCTGAACAAAACCAATCTAAGAGAGCGTCGGGATGGAGGGCAGGGAATTGGGAGGCAACACGATCAAGGCTTTCTAGATACACCTGAAGTGCAAGAAGACGTGTATAGAACCACCACCAAGAAAGCCTACACCCACGAACCCAAAAGCGAATCTCCCCAGCTACCCAATAGGCCACCCATTGAGGCATGTCGTTGAGTCTTCTAGCCAATTCTTCCGCCGTGAAGGGAAGAAAAGGCAGCAAATGCGGTGGCTGGACGATGTCCAACTCCCACAGGTCATTCATGTTGTTGTATGCTGACAAGATAGAGCCAGGCACTGACGACGCACATGTCGGAGAGTCTTGCATGGTCTAGGCAAATGACACGACAGCTCAACAGCTACACGAAAACTCTTCTTTTTCGTCGCAGGACTCAAGGTAGGTAGAAGGGAGGGCGGGGCCCGAAAAACAGTTCCAGTTCCAACTGTGTTGCAGCTATATTACAAGGGAAAAAACTCCAGTTCCAGTTATGTTACAAGGCGGGAAGTTTCCCGAGGAAACTAAACGGTTTTCGGAGCACGTCAGGCCCATGGAGGCGGGTCGGCCCCAGGGGCATTCTCCAAATGCCCTCCAGAGGTCAGCTGAGCACGAATGACAGAGAGCTGCATCAAAACTTCCGACTGGAATTGTGGGTGCATCGCCGGAGGGGCACGTTGTTCCTGGCGAACGCGCTGCAGTCGCTCTTCCATACCTTGAACCGCTCCGATCAGGCCCTGTGTGTCCAGTTCGATCCCTTCTCTAATCATAGACAAATGCCCATTGATTTCCTTGATATCCGCAGGAGTGTCTGTAGTTACAGGGACTAAGGACTTCCGTATCAGAGCCTGAACCTTGATGAGATCGCCCATGGTCTGGCGCATGTCCTGAAGTTCTAAGCCCAAGAGCCTGATTTGTTGGAGAATGTCCAAACGAGTTTGGTTCCAATTCTCCAAGAGTAGCGGTTGCATGAAGCTCTGCGGCTCACAAACCACGGCTCTGCGGTGGTCCTGGAGAAGGAGTAAAATATTTTGCTCCAACCGAGCAAAATTTTCAGAGTGAGTCGTGCTCCACGTGTCCAGTCGCATGCTCAGATGTTCCCCCAAGGCCTTGATCTCCTGGAGGTCGCGGCGAAGCCCAGAAAGAGAGCTCCACAAAATGATCCCCAGACGTGCAATGCCAGAAACGAGCAAAACGCCCCCTAGCAAAAGCCAGCCCCAGTTGGTCAGGTCGGGTTCATCCATCACCATCAGATGAAGCCAGTGGTCAGTCGCCCAAAAAGCAGCCATGTAAGCAATGAGGTCCCGACCATGGCTCGGCCTAGACTGCTGAACCTAGCAGAGCGCGGTTCAGGGGCCCAGGGAAAAACCAGCGGAAAAGGAATTGATTGACTGAACAAACGAAGCTTCCAGGAGTCAGTTCCAGGGCAGAGAGAGGAAAGGGCAGGTCCAAAGCAAAAGGGGGGGAGGGAAGAAAAACAGTGCGGTGTCGGGCGTCTTGCACACACAGACAAAGGGGGCGGCAAGTAAGGACTTCGAGAAAACAAGGGGCAGGGAGTCAGAGAGAGGCGGAGGACTCACAATCCAGCAGGGTTTCCATAACCTCATCCTCGTCATCACTATTGACGTATGTGGGTGCAGCATCACTTGCCAGAGGCTCCGGTCGCGTGCTTTGCCTCCTTTCTGCGAACACCTCAGATATCCTGAGTTGTCGGTAATTCGACTCCGAGGAAAGTCCTTTGGAGGCTGCAGCCTGAATTTCCTGACAGGTTGGCAAAGGAAAACCCAAATCCAGAAGTTGCTCCGAAAAATCCCTGGGAAATGAGGAAACATGAATCGTGCAAAATGCTACGAGAATGACCCTCGATCTGCCCCTTACGGTCGAGCTGGTGTTACAATGTCCCGCATGCAACAGCCCACGCGTGTTGATAAACAGCGGCTGATCAATTGAAAAGACCTTGCCGGGTAGCATACGGCCCTTGAAAGCCTTCCATACATTCCCGTCAGAATGGTGCACCCAGAGCCCATCCTCAGCCCCCATCGTAGACAATCCGAAGATACAGGCGTTCGTAGGCCCATTGCGAATGTCCCTATGTGGGCTCAAGGCGCATCCCTCACGAAGGACAAGTGTGGAGTACCGAGCTTCTGGGGCATGTGCTCTCATGAATCGGTTCAGCACAAGTGTGAAGAGGGGCATGCAGTGGCTGAAAGTGACAAGATCCTCCCGGCTCCTGGGGGAAGCCCCAGCAACAACATACCTGCCAGTAGGACTACGTTTAAGGGTGCTTCGGGGAAGTAAATCAAAGAGTGCAAGGATGTCGGTTTTGCAAGGGGGCTCGCCCCGCCTAAGAAGGTGGAAAGCCTTAGCCTCCAGGGGCCGATCCCGTCTGTCAGCCGTCAACATGGCTAGGTGATGCCGAAGATAGGCCGGATCTGAGTCGCGTGCTCTAGGGGTCCTGCAGTCGGAGTCCTCAGAGTCGCTGTCTACGCACTGATCCACTCCTTGCAAAGATTCCACACACACAACAGAATCATTGTCATCTCCACCAGAGGCGTCATCAGTCAAATCCAGGGACACAGGGGGAGGAGGAAGGAGGCGAGCAAAGGACATGACTCCCAGAAGAGGCTCGTGTAGACTGCAGCCAGTTTCCCTGTAAGCCCAACTTTCTTGAGCCGTAGCCATCGGGGATAGACCATTCTGTCTTGGAGCAAACGAAATCCGGCCGCTGATTGCCACAATACTATCTTGAGTCGGGACTGGCTGCAGAATCCAAAATGTAGATAAAGATCAGAAACACCCATAGCAGGATCACTACGATATGGGTTTCGGCGCTCACGCTCGGACAATCCAGAGGCATATGGTTCGGAGTCTGACACGTGAGACGTCACTACATGGGGGTCGTCAGCTGCAGATCACTCCAAGGGTTGGGGAGTAGGCAGATGAAACACCAAGCAAGTAAATAGCTAATCGGGGCCTAGTAATGATACTAACGACCAGGTCAGTCGAGGTACATGTTGTGATCACCTACCCAATACCCTTTCCCTGCCGTTGGTTTGGTGGCTTGAACCCCCTTGTTAAGTTCAGCCAAGGCACCTGTGTTTGACATGACTCAGGACAGGGAGAAGGACAGAAAAGGACGACCGACGACGGAAGCGTCCAGTGCAGTAGGACTTATAACAGCACCAGAAAACAAGACCTTATGGGAGGACCCAGGATAGATGCAGCCAGAGAGAGCTATGATCCCAAAGTGGCGGACTGGACGACCAGGCCTTGAGCGAAAACGATATGGGTAGTTGTCAAAATTAGGGTCCCTCTTTGGGAACCCTAAAAAATTAGGTGCCGTATTATAATAGGGACCCAAAAAGGGGCCATAACTTTGACAACCACCCATATGGGTTTAGGGTTTAGGGATGAACAATGCGGCCAAAGGCTCGTTGCAATTGACTCCGATGGCTGCGGCCGCGCAGAGCACAGCCTCAGCTTATGTAAGTTTTGGGCTCCACTAGTGTCAATCATGATAGTAATGACACTAACAGTCATGCATTGATAACTGACAGTAAAGATAACTATAACCTCTACATTCTCTGCATCCGAAAGTGCAGCATGGTAGAGCAGATCAGCGCACTTTCAGACTTTAGCATGCTGACCAAGAGCTGTTTAAACTAAGACAACCAACCAACTTGGAGTGGCGCTGGCCAAAACGTCACATCTACTAGACAAAGTCTCTGCCAAGGGGCAGTGACAGCTCCGGACGTGTCGTATCAGCGGAGCCTGCGAGCTGCCCATATGTGGTCCGGGCACGACCATCCCTGAACGAATGCAGAGACTGCCCAAGTCAATAGAGACCGACGCACTCGGGGCCGAAGAAAACCTCGCGTGACGACTGCACGACCCCTCCGGACTCACCAAAAAAAGTGTGCACAATGGACAGCTATCCGAAGCCGCAAGGCATAAATCCCTCTGAAATGCAGAGAAGCGGCATTTTCTCAAACCTTACAAAGGCCTTGTAGATCCCGTAGATAGGCCGCTATATAAAAGAGCCTACCAATAATCCCAAACCCTCCCCCAAGCCCTAACCTTACCTTTGCTAGTAGGGAACGGAGGAATGGGGTACAATTATAACTTATAACTACTCTTACTACCATTCCATTCCCTACTAACCAAAGGTAAGTAACCCTAATAATTACTAAATCTATTTTTGGCGGTTCCTTATTATATGAATAGTATAGTGGGCCCCAAAACCCTATTCGATTTATTAATGCCGCAAACCCTAACGGCCTCCTGTAGCCTTGGCTTTCCGAGGAGCCGCTCCCGCGCCTGAAGATTCGGCGTGCGGCTGCCTGCAGGGTTTCAGTAGCTCTACTTGGAGGATCATGGGACTTTTTTGTCACCCACCTAGCACGGACTTAGTAACTATAGTTATAAGTCCCTTAATTGGGGTTATAAGTAAGTACTAGTTACCTCAGTAATAACCCTAGTTACTAAGTCCCATGATCCTTTAAGTAAGGGCCGCGATGAAAGGGCTATATACTAGGATAACGGATGCTCATTATAAGGGATGCTACTATGAGGGCTGCGATTACAAAGATTTCGACTAGACTAAAGTTAATTTCGAAACGACGCTAAGGGCGAATCTAACGAGCTTTACACTAACAGTTGTTACAGTATGGTTTGATACGATATGGGAACTTATAACTGAAACTAATAAGGATTGTAGCGTGGGTGACGATGATGATAGCGGTTCTGCAATAAGAGATGCAGTACGGGTTGTTCGGGGCTTTTTGAACTTCACGGAGTTTGGGCTTAGCAGGGCCTGCTTTTTGGCTGCATGTAATGCCCCCTGGCCAAATGGATAGTCGTCGAGTAGTCGTCGAGTGCTGCTTGCGAGAAACCGGAATGGGAAGCTCGTACTTGTGCGAATGCTGACACTGAGCTCTACCCTGTTGGGTGTCGAAAAGGGAAGCTCCGAACATGCAGCCCACAAGCTTGAAAGAGCTGCCGACTGCAAATGGTCCAATACGACACTGCTAACCCGCCGTGGGATATGCCCCGAATTTGGCAGGCATGTGCAGTGACAAGGAAGGCTGTGAATTGAGCCACTTACATCTGATATTGTGGAGCCACTTATGGTCTGCACGTGTTGGCGGCAGTGTTGAGGGTGCTGTGATTCCAGAAAGACCAGAATATCAGAACATGACATGGAACGATGTACACACACCATTATTTTGCCATTAAGCCTACTAATCCTGTCACGGATAAGTGGCTGGGCCTGGCCACGGCACAGCAGCCGCCTGGTCACAGCAAGTAGGGTGCTTCGGATGCGCATCGGTTGCGAAGGCTCGGACAATCCAGGCGAGGCATGTGGTTCGAGATCCGGTTTGAGGTTTGGGCGGCAAAGGTTATTACGTCATGTTGGACAATGACGTGTTGAAAGGAATCACCTCTCCCAGATCCGGCCGAAGCCTCTTGTGAAGATGCTCAAGCTATACTTGCACCTACCGTCATCCCTAAACCCCCGAAAGCAGGTGCTACGGTTCGACGGATTCTTTCTGACCACCCACTGGAAGCTGCACAAACAGTTCTTGGAAACCCCGAGACCAAATTCGCCGCATGCGCCAAATCCAATTCCTGCAGCCCCGACCATCAAGTCAAGCGCACCTTTGAAAGTCCCTCAACCCTTAGCCTTGAATCAAAACTTCAACGAAGTCCAAACGCAAAAAACCAGAAATTGATATTCAAGCACGATTTTCAGCAAAGCGCGTGCAGCCCTCTTGGCAGCGTCAGCAGCCCTGATGGCTCGGATGCGTTGCAGCCCCCTCTCGGATCTGATGCTGTTGGGCGGTTCCATGTTTGCAGCCGTTTCTCGGACTGCAGGATCTGCCAAAAATAGCGTGCATGCTGCATGCTCGGCCCACGGCTTCTTGCGATGCACATCGCCCCTGAATGCCTGCCCACTCCATTTAAATGGAACTCCGTCCCGGTCTTCAGCTGACACGGTCAGTGTTGACTGGTGGCAGCACAAGTGGCCGTCCCTGACCTCCACGGTGTGAAAGTTGATCCCCAACTTGTCGGGGGAGTTCTCGCCGTCCGATGCGTGCTTCAAGCGCCTTGGGGCTGCTTTCGAGGATTCATGGGCCCACAGGTAAGGATACGGGCGCAGACGAAGAAACCAAGACGTGTATTGAAAGGGGCCAGCGAAGCCTATTCAGCATTGACCTGCATGCCTCATCCTTACTCCAGTATCTCCACATGCTTCCTCAAAGTTTGTTGCTGCATTCCATTCTTCCCTGCGGCCGTACTCTCCGCAAAAGTCTGCGTTGGTGTCAATAATGACGGTTTCATACCGTCAAAACCTAAACCTGTATGGGGGAATCAATTTCCAGCAGTGGTATTTGACGATGCCGACCGGCGTAGGGGCAAAGGCCCAAAACAAGAGTAGGCTTCAAGGCTCACGACAGGCCTGGGGCAGCTGGGCTAATCAGGCTATCGAAACGAAACCAATGATCATAACTCCTGGAGCCCTTTTTTCAAACAGATATTGTGGGTTTTATCAGGGTTGAGACAATGTAGCCCTTTATCAGCCCGCAGAAGATTGATAAACACCCGTCCAACTCAGGCCGGAACTGCATGAAGCAAATCAAGGTGTTCTTGCCGGGGTTCTGCGTCAGGTCGAAGCCAATTTCTTTTGTCTTTTTTTTTTCAACTTCTTCTTCTTGTCTTTTGTTTCAATGGACTCGTCCACTCTGCAGCTGCTGCTGCCGACCGGCGGTGACGACGGACTGTGCACCACCTCCTCCACGAACGTCTGGTTGGAGTCCGTGTCCATCTGGTGGCTAGCGTCCACTGCATCCTTACTGTGCTCTTTCTTTGCCGCTTTCGATGCTGGCTCCGGCATGGCCCCTTCAGGAAAACTGCCCTGCGAGGCTTCTTGGCTGTGGAATTCAACGGACAGTGTAGCGACAGGACAACAACATATATCCTTGAATAACTGAATAACTATCTTGTCCATAAGAATAATCGTCTTTGACAGGATCCCATCAAATCATGACATCTCCAAGAAACAGAATACACCCTTCGCCCGCAGCCAAATCAAAGGCGCCTGGAGACGCTGCGACGACGACCCGGCGACCGACGACCAGGCCGGCTGCGCCAGCGGGCATCTGCCCTATCGTTACAACAAAGATTTTCAGGCTCGAGTGCCGCGGGCAACGAGGCTCGTCCTATCCGAATCCTTGGACTGCGCTACAAGCAGCTCTTCTTCCAACTGCGGACCCCGCGCCGGGCCACGGATCTACTTCTTATACCAGAAATGACATCCAGTCGTCTAAGTCACTAGGTTTTCAATCGCTGAGTAGTAATTGTTCGATGTGTACTAAGCCTCACATACGCCCAACTTTTACCAGCTTTGGCTCATGTCACGACGTGGATGGCATCCACCGGCAGAACTGCGAATTACAATCGCAGCTTCAGCACAAATGTGAGTTCTAAACTCCCCACATCCAGTTCGCACCCGATCTTTCATTGCACAACTCCCCCCCCCCCCGCCTATGATTTGGGGTGCACCTTATCTCAAGATTCTTCTCCTTACGCTCCACGACTCCAACCCACAAATCACAGATCTTGAAGCTCTCTCCTGAGTCTAGCTCGCCGTCAGCTTAAACTTTGAGCTTAGACTCCACTCCTTTCAAGTTTTCTTCGTAGGAGAACCGCCCTAGAACTGCCCGAAGCCATGCTTGGCAAACCGTTGCAGGACGAACTTAGCTTTCTTCTTCCAGGCTGCTAGCAACTGCCAGAAGCTGCAAACTCAAGGGACACAGACCGATTGGAAAGTAATCTGGAAAACCGATGAAAGCAAAAATTGCATCACACACACATTCACATTCGCATACCTGTCTAAGTTTAAAAATGCACAATCTTGTGCTTCGACGGCGTCTGTGTAGGACCCTGAACCTCATTTTACATCCAGTCCGGTTCGAACTCCTGGGCATCACCTGACGTTTCGAAGCCAGGCGATTGGGAGCACTGCTGGCTGCGTACCCGCTGTTGCTTATGTATAACCTGAAGATCCTGAACATGAAAAGCTCGGCTCCTCCCAAACCTGCTGCGACGTCCACGAAGGCACCGGTCAAAGCCGCCTCGATCGCTTTAGTCTGGTTGTCTTTGGGGGTTTATTTTCCCTCCCACCTAGCTAGGACGAAGCCCGCATTGCAGGGAAGGGGTTTCGGGTTTTGGGGTTTGGGCTCTGAGTTCAATGCTTCGCGTCTCAGCAGGACTTTGATGCTCTCAGATATTGGTTGATGCTCTCAGATAATGGGCTTCAGCACTCAGAATCCGATAGTGGTGCTGAGGTTACAAGTTACAAGGACACACAGCAACGTGGCCTCCTCTCCCTTTTGAAGGCCCTCAACAAGCGACTGCCGAGGACGGATGCCAAAGGGCCCAGCACCACGAGCATCATCACTTCGCACAGACATCCGTCAAACTCAAAGCACCAATCTACGTTAAAAAACACAGCACAAGGTCGAGCAATGTCAATATCAACATCAGCGGGGTCCTGTGCGACCTAAGCTCCTATCTGCAAAACACAGGGTCGAGCATCATGAGTATTAGAAGGGCCTGGTGTGCCCAGGACTCCAAGCAGGGCATGGTGCGCCTAGGACACCAATTTTTGCACCTGCAGAAACACAAGGCCGAGCATCAACATCAGCAGGGCATGGTGCGCCCAGGACCAATTTGCATCTGCAGAAACACAGGGCCGAGCATCATGAGCATCAGCTGGCTTAGTGTGCCTAAGCCGCAAAGCAAGGACGCAGTGCCGAACACCATCAGCATCAGCGACTGCTGACTGGATCCTAAACACCATTTCCATCATGTGCTAAAATAGCATAATACAAACAACATGGCACAAAGTAACATGGTATAATATAACATGCTACGATACAAATTATCGAGCAAACAATATATATATATATATATATACACACAAAACATGTATAGATCACACCCTCAACACTCTGAATTTCTCGGGAAAGGGCCAGGAGCATCTCATCCGTCCACTCGCTGCGGAAGGATGCCAGACGCTTGAAAAGTTTGTCCTGCAAAAGGAGGTGCTTGCACGCGCATGTCTCAGCTTTCATGTACACACGAATGTCCTTTTGCATGTCCGCCTATTAAGTGCACATGTGTAAGTTCTGTCACACACCGTGCATTGCCTTGCGCCGATTTGCCTGAGGTGATCCAGACACAATGCCATACGAAGGACTTTCGCCATCAATACCCTCAGCGTGTCGGTGTTGCTCACCTCATGGCCATAGCTCCACCAAACCCGCACTCCTCGAAGGAAGCCTTAAACGCAGGGCATGTTACCCTAAACCTTCGTAAACCATAAGCTCAGGAGCCGTGCAGTCCCAACCAGCCCCTGAACGATCTAGGTTTAGGGACTTTCTGCCATGTCGGACAGCCGGTCCGGCAGAAGCCGCGCGGCCGCCTCGGGCGCTGCAGCACCGGAGCTCGCACCTTGGTAGAGGAACCCTCGAAAATCCGAGGCGGTAGGATCCTTTTGATGAGACGGACCCGTCCCCGAGTCTTTGAAAGTTTTCACGACATGGCAGCAAGGGCACAGCGTGAAAGGCGTCAAGAGGGAAACCGTCATTCTCGCGATGATGCTGCCATTTAAATATATGACGGAAGAGTGAGAAGAACGTCATTGGAATTGGGATATCACGGCTCCCCGAAGACACGGTCCCCTCTTGGAACACGAGAGCCTTCACATGTAGACTCAAGCGCAGCAGGATGAGGCTTAGTATATAGGGTTCAGGATCCAGCAGGTGTCGAATTCGTACTGGGCTGGGGGTTGGTGCCCACGCCCATGCCGAGGCTCATCCACACACAAACTTCCTTCCTGTCTTCGAGATTCTTAGGAGTTTCCATATAACTCCATGACAGAAGCCGTCCTGCACCGGCCATATCCGTTCTTGAGGCCAGCTCTTGCGCTGGTCTCTGCCACTAGTTGCAGGCATTGTGCCGTTCACTCAGAGGGAAAACCGTTCGTGAGTTTGCGGTCAGGGGTGTGGCAGACTGATTGCCATCGGTGTAGGCGGCCCCTTGCCACCGCCAGGCGTGAACCGAGTGATGAGCGTGTTGCGCCCTCGGGGTTGGATGGGCTGCTCTGGTGCCCAGCACCTGCGGAGGGATCCAACGGGAAAAGCACGAGCCATGTTTGACAGCAGCCACCTGCCCGCGCCCTGTCGGGACGCTCCAGACCTGGCCCAGTACCGTCGCGAGCGATTGTTTGAGCTGGAGAGGTATCGAGGATGGCATGCTGTCTTGCCCTTATGCCGGCCTTTCTAGCAATGTCTTTTGCTAGGAGGTGCAGGCGGCGGGCTTGCCCAGTGTCCTCTCCAGTTCGGTTTGGAGAGCTCTGTCATGGTTACGGGTCCATCGGGTTTGCGATGCACAGCGTTTGTGTGGAGCCGACCGGCAGCCTTGCGCTTTAACCTTCTTGCGGAAGCAACGGCTGATCCTGCTGGCGCCTCATAATACCCAGCCACACTCATCCGTTCTTGAGGCCCAGGCCGAGCACGGCCAAAGCGCCGGCCGGACGATCCAAATGGCTGAAGTCTCGCCGGAGGGCCTGGAGTCAGTGACTACACCCTGGCATCAAGCTGAAGAACCCAAATCCGCATTCGGAGCAAAGGTCAACACCCTGTGAGAAAGACAAACAAAAGCCTCGAGAAGGATACAGCTCTCGCTTCCATTGACGAGGTCCTATGGAGTAGCCGCAATCCGAAAACAACATTCTCCAGTGTTACGGCGTCGCACCAACATGGGCAAGCGGAAATCTCGAGACGGCTGTCTTCGTCTTAGACGCAGCTTTTCAAACCTTGCCAAGAGCGCAGTGGGGGTTTACTGCTTTTTCTTAGGATTCAGGGCTGTGTGGAGGCCCGAAAGCTCCACCGGTGCCACGCCTTGGCCGCACCGTGGATGTCGGGCACCTCATGGAAACTCGTGCTTCCCTTGAGCCGGTGGTGTCATCTTTAGCGCTTGAATCGAGGTCGCTAGGCATGAGGATGTCTCTAGGGCACAGGGAGTGCCCTTCAGTCGCACAGGCTCCTAAAACCTTGCAGAACTTTACAAAGAAGGTAACTTACAGTACGGTACTGTATCTAAACAGGATATGGAGGAATGCTAACAAGTAATAGATAGGTGTGTGTGTGTGTGTGTGTGTGTTTGTGCGTGTGCGCGCGTGTGCTGTGTGTGTGCGAGTGACTAAATGTTTCCCAGGGGAACACTCAGCACTCCTGGGCTGCAAACCACGATGTGCTTCGTCATCGGCGTAGCATTGGCAGAGATGGCCGATGCTCCCGCAGACAGGCAAAGCGAAGTTGCCTCGTGTAGAACTATGTGTGGACCGAAGGCTTCCAGCAGAATCAATCTCTGTTGGAGGGCTGTTTGTATGAAAGCACTAGCAACACATCTTCAGAAACTTCAAAGGTGCGATGCATGACAGTTGCATACCTCTACACGGTTGCCTCATAACTCCATGCGACATGTGATGCTGGTCGCAGTACGTGTCCTACCTAGACTGCCCCACCCGGGTTCATCGTCTTGCAACTGGGATTTTTCAAGTGCGTGGTTCAACAGGCTCTGCGTGCTTAAAGCAGTGTGACACACTTGTCTTGTACATGCTTGAAAGTAATGAACAATTTAAAGGTAGCGCTCAGATTAAGAATGGGAGAAGGAACAGCCATCAACTGGCAGGCCAGATTTGCCAAAGTTTGAAATGCCATCATCCCCCCCTGATTGCACGCACATTACAAAAGGCTTTGCAGACAACCCGTATTTATCCAATACGACAGGAGCGTGGCATAGCAACTCTATTCATCCGAACTGTCCGGCACCTCCCCTTCGTGGAGTGCGCGGTGCACCCGGGTGGATTCGTCGAACCAGAACCGCCGCTTGGATTTCAGCCTGCAAGTTTCCGGCAAGACGCTCGGATCGTTTAACCGTCGCACGCTGGGGATTGGTCACGAGGACCCTGTGAAGCCAGTTAAAGCAATATCAATATGCTATCACGGCCACCGCGGACGGAGACGGGCACAGTTGGTCCATAATGCAATTATCGCTGTGCAAGCGGCAATCCAATGTACCCCAAGCCACCCGGTTATGAACTCTGCCAATCCAAGCCCAAGCTACTCAAAGTAGATGTCCTTGTCCTCACGGCAAGGGGGACAAAGGTGGATGGGGGCGGGGCTGTGTGTGGTGCAGCCGGCACTTGCGGTTCTGGATGCATGTGTATTCGCACAGAGCATGTGCCCAGCTTGGAGCTTACGCAGCGACCTCGGAGCCTCATAAATCAACTTCAACCTTGACACCCCGTCGGGACTCCCCGATGCAGTAGACATCGTGCTTCCCACACTCTTCACTAGCCAACTCAGTACGCCGAACCCAAACCACTTCCCAAGCTGCTTGAGGGTATACCTATGACATAGCTCCAACTCAACAAAGAGTGCTCGTGAAAACCCCCCCAGGCTATCCGAATATGAAGCACATGACTGCAGCTCGTCCAATGCTTCGCAAGTCCTTGTTGTACAGCCACCCTGCAGTGCTGCAGGTGCCAAAGCCGCTCGGGATCTGCTCTTCCTCATCAGGAGCCGAGCACAGCACAGGCACTGCTGAGGCTGCCTCCTACCGGACAAAAGAGGCAACAGGGGTGCATTGAACCGGCCTCAGGCAGGTCTTTCTCGCTGAAGAGGTCCGGCCGCTCCTGCTCAAGACCACAGTTAAAACGTTGAAGCGATATTGGACTCGGGATTCAAGCTCACTCGCCGCTACCGCACACAATGTCTAACAACCTCTGAACACTCCAAAGCTGAATAGCCCGGCGACCCTCAACGGCCTGCTTGAGCCGCCACATGTGGGTGCCCTTGCCTCAAGCTGCTATGTTGCAGAGATGGGGCTTCAGTTCGACTTTGTTCCGGATGTTCCGAACCTGGACATGCGCGCGCAGCTCCTGCTTTAATATCACCGCTCGTCTTCCCCTATGGTATCTTGAAATCCCGTCCCGTGGTCAACTGAGGCTAACCCCTCCCCATCGCCCAAGATTGATCGGCCAATGTAAGCAAGCTGGCCATTGCCCGCATAGACGAAGCCACCCTTGGTCTCTCGCTCCTGCGTGGAGTAAGACTTTCGCTGATCTTACTGCAAATCCCCACATCCTCAGATTTCCCACTACTCGGGCCCCTACACAACTCTAACCCTGTATTCCCCTCTTGACTCTGAGTCCTGGCCGGTCGTCTGGACAGTCGGCGAGAAGTTCATGGTAGCCTTAGGGCATTCTTCGAGGGCTAAACTTCTTCCACGTTCGTAAACGAATGCTCCTCCATGCTTTGGTGGCGGGTCCTTCCTCTGACCTCCTATCTGCCACGGCTTATTCCTAGTGCAGCCAGGTAGAGTTTTCCCTCGATGGTCAAATTCCGATAATTCAGGTTGCTTCGAGACTATGCCACCGATGCATCAGGCTTCCGCTTTCGCTGAAAACCAGTCTCATGAGGTCTGGGTGCGAGCAGCTTTTGTTTGTGCTGACCCATTCCCGTTCCCAGCTAGCCGCTATCCCCCACCCCCCCCACGCCCCCCACTTATTGAATTCATGTCCAGGCACTTCTTCATCAGTCACTGGATTCCTTCTATATCCGGCATAAGCCAGAGCAGCGAGTCTTAAATCCTTAGCATGCTTGACGGTTCGTCTTGGCTTGTTGCCACGCTACTGCAGTGCTCAAGTCCATCCCTCAAGCATGATCGAGGACTGGTTGTGCGCGATCGTAGTTGGTTGCTGATCTTGTGCTGCCTGCGGTGTATTAGCAGCTTTGATGGCAGTCCATGACATGAGAATGAGCAAAAATGTCGGCGGAATCAAGCGACCGTTGCAAGTACCTAAGGTGGTCTTAGCTGAATTTTAAGGGCCGAGTACACGACCAGGTCTCAAGCGCATGGCCACATGCGTGAGCACTCCCTTGTGCCGTTGCCAGCAGCTCAAGGAAAGCTGAAAAAGGCGTTGCACTCAAGCCACACCCATCTTTTTGGCTCCCACTTGTCGGACTCTCGCGAACCCGCGCTGCCACACCCATCTAATGTATGTAGCACAACTTGCATCTAGCAGGGCACTTTATTCACTTCTTCTGCCCGGCCCAAACAAACAATACAAAGCTGGCCCTCCAACGGATGGAGTCCTATCATCAGCAAGAACCAAGAAACGCAGAACTGGCCTGCAGCAAGCGGCAAACTCCCGTGTAATGTGCCTTCGCAGCAAGACATCAGCTGACAGGGCGGCTCAAGGGCGACTCCAGAATGCTGGCGATGCTGGGAGCTTTCAGAAGTGATCTTGACCCCCCCCATAGTCCCTCTACACAGAGATCAGAAATCGCTTCTGGTCCATGTGTGTATATGTAGGTCTGTAGGTCTACACATAAAGTGCACATGTCCGTTGCCATTGTTAAGCCTAGGCGGAGTTCTGACATCTGAGATGTAAGCAACGCCTTGTCATCTGCCAGTCGTCGCTGCGCCGGTGTACAGCCCTCACCAGGAAGGGTCGGCCCCTTCTCCCACCTCATGGTTGTGCAGCGCTTCGACAGAGCCTGTGTTTTTACAGCGACCATTGCTCACACATGTGCAAGTCAGTACCTTCCAGCGCATTCGTGAAGCGTGAGACCTATCATCGAATTGTGCCAAAAACACTTAAGGCCAAACTTGCTCACACCTGACTCATGATTGCTCGCAAGCAGACACTGAAACCCCGCGACACTGTAAAGAGTATCCAAAGCTATTCTAGGAGCAATCGGTGGGAACTGGGATCAAGCAAGATTTGGGGTGTCGGCTAAGGTTGTCGCTGTCCACTGTACGGAGGGACATGCAGGTTGGACTGCGAACCTCATTCGACGGTCCTCGTCACCCGTAACTTTTGCGACCCAGTAGCCACTTCTCTCTGACCGTCTTGGCCTGGCGCCGCTTGAGCTCACCTTGGTCGCGTCTGTGAGTCTGTCCATGAAACCCTGTGCTTTGAAGCAGATCTTGAATCTTCGTTGCATGTCGGCCCAAAACCCAGCGCAGGTGCTGCAATTTTAGCAACAACTTAGTTGGAGCGTTGTGCCAGTTCTGCTGCCAAGTTTGCAGGTTTAAAGGCCTGCCAACTGTCACAGAAAAGAACATGCCGCGGCATTTCACTTGGCAGACCTCGCAATGCCTCGAAGTCGACGGCTGAGAGCTCTGAGCAAAGCATATCCGGGGCTCTCGACAGAGCAGACTCTCATCTCATCGTCGTTCCGGAGGTGGGTCCACGCTTCTTTGCAGTTTGGCGAACGCTCTGCATTGCACTCCCTGCTCAACTGCAGGACACGGATAAAGAAAAAGATGGACACATTGGGCTCAGGCTCGACAGGACAGCTATCCAAACTGCATGAAGCTCGCCGAAATGCACCAACTCACCATCGACACGAGAAGTGTCAGGACGTGATCGCTGCCCTCGCACTCGCTGTCTTTTCATTCTGGTTCTTGCTGGTTCCGTCTTGTTGCTCTTCGCTGCCCGAGCCTCTAGCCAGCCCTGCTGTGCGACTGAGCAGTGGCTCTTGGTCTGTCCGGCTTGCGGCAGCTACTTTGAGGGTGGAACAACACAGCACCTCTGACCATAAGCCGGCAAGTCATCATGGAAGCAACTCTCCCAATTATCCGCATCAAGGCTGTCTTGGACACTCCCATCGAAGCTTGGGCTCATCTAGGGCAACTCAATAGGCTCCGAGACAATCGGTGACAACGGCGAAGTCCGTGGGCATGCCTTTGATGGCAAGGAGCCAGGCAGAAAGCATCTTGACCAAGGCAATCCAAGGCACATTCACGAGATCGAAAAGCTACCTCTGAGCGAGATGCAGCTTGAAGTCATTGCCGTATCTTCAACGTCTCCGACATCACAGCACTCCAGAAGGATTTCCACTTCTGCTCGAGTGTAGCGGAACCATGAATAGCAAGCTTGTCCTGCAGAGACTCTACCGTGCCCTGTTTTGGGATTAGCCACTCCGGGAGCAAGTTCTCAGGATTGTACTGGCTAAGGAGATCCACACACTCCCGGCCCCCTTCCAGGGGCAGGGATGCAAGTGCCAGTGGAAGTCCATCTGGTGAGAAGTTTGAAGCTTCCCGTGCAAGAAAAAGGCTGAGTAGGACTTCGTCTGGCGTTCCCACACATTCGAAAGGCTTCACGGCCGTCCTCCCACCTGAATCCTGCGATGATATGCCCAGCAGGCTTCGGAAGTTCTGCAAGAGTTTGGGGTTCTCAAGCAAATTTTTTCCGAAATACTTGGCAATCTCCGCTGGTGACAGCCAGGCCGCAAGCAATGCAAACACGAAGCAGCACTTCTCACAGTCGCAGCACCACTCATTCAAACCGTTACTGTCATTGCAGCTCATGAAAGCATCTAGGAAATCAGCCGAGCGTTGGCAGAATAGCCAAGCAATCTGCACCTCCCAGAGGTGCTGGAGGGCTGAGAAGTAATAGGCGCTGGGGGCCAAGTGTCGACGGATGTATCTATGCATGCGCGACTCAAAGTCGAAACTCTTGTCAAACTGGTGGTTCACTTCGATGCTTCCCACACGGAGATTGTTGCCATAATTTGCCGAACGCTCGTTTCCAACGGCTATGTAGTCAAAGCCAGCTAGTATAGCCACCAGCACGGCATCGAAGCCCACAAGGGCGGCCCACGGGTGGCCACACGGCTGCAGCCGCCGCTTGGACCTCCTCAGCTTTGCCAGGGCTTCAGTCTGGAAGTCGTGAGCCATCACCAGCACTGGCGATCCAGATCGCTCTACGACAGTCTGCAGGCGCCAGCTGCCCTGAAATTCCTTGCGGCCATCGCCTACATAGAACCAAGTTGGCGATGTGACGCCTGTATCCTGTAGCATCTGGTGCACTACCAGGCTGTCTTTGCCCCCACCCAAAAGGCACAGAACCCGTGCCTCACCGGAGTCACTGGACGGTATGGGTTTCCGCTCTGGCGCGTGGACCAAACAGCCCCCGTCGACTTGCTGTGGTGCATCGACCTCAACCGATACACGTATTTGCTCTTCGGTGAACCCATTGACGATTGCAAACTCTGCAAAGCACTGTGCGTAGAACCACTCCCACCATGCCACCTGCTCATCATTTAGGTACCCAGCACTGATCACTACCCGCTGGTGGCCGAAGGCCATCCAATACCAGGCCAACACTACCAGACCGATATGTAGCACTGCAACCTCCACCTGCTTGAGTGGGGCATCAGAATCAAGTCCCCGAAGGAGCTCGTCAGGCAGGAAACACTGGCTGTGAATCTCCACCTCGTCGCAGTCTGTATAAACGAAATTTATTCGTGGCCAGTCAACTTGAAACGTCTTGAATCGCAGGAAGGGCAAAGGCGCGCACTCCGGTTGCAGGCCGTCCTCACCTTCCTCGTCTTCATCGCTGAAGGGGGGCAGGTCAAATCCTTCCAGGTAGGAGCTCGCCATCTGAATGGTTTCACGGCTGCCTCCGAATCTCGTGCGGCTCTTGGGCCTTAGGCTGCTAGGGCTCCCTCGCTTGCGCTAGAATGGGCCCTGGCATCCAGAGTGGGCCCTGACCGGCTTTGCACATGGATGCCTGCGGAAATTTCCATGCCAAGTAAACACTGGCAGAACAAAAACTACGGAGTCTCAAAACACACACACACACACACACACACACACACACACACACACACACACACACACACACACACACACACACACACACACACACACACACACACACACACACACACACACACACACACACACACACACACACACACACACACACACACCACACACACACACACACACACACACACACACACACACACACACACACACACACACACACACACACACACACACACACACACACACACACACACACACACACACACACACCCACACACCCACCCACCCACCCACCCACCCACCCACCCACCCACCCACCCACCCACCCACCCACCCACCCACCCACCCACCCAACGCACGCACGCACGCACGCACAAACAAACGCACGCACGCACAACTCTGAGATCCAAATCCTCAACACCCGAGATCCTGAATCCTTGGATGCCCAAAGCAAAGGCCTCCCTGCTCTCTGTGCTCGTTGTTGTGCCAATAAGCCATCATCTAACATTCTATAGCACAAAACGGTCTTGGGGCGTGTGCACGGCGGATCTAACATTCTATAGATTGCCACTACTCGTCAGTCCAAGCGGCTGAGGGTCGGCATAGCAAATCGTGCGAAAGCTGCGGACTTCGCAGCGGCGCGATTGCTACTATTGCTCTTCGGGTTGCCTTCTGGAATGTGTGAGGACATGGTGAGGAATGCATCTGTAGCTAGACACCTGATGAAGGCTTGACGAACCCAACTACACAAACATCTCATGATGAGCCGTGAGCGAAGCAGGTTTTCTTACACAATTGCAAACAGACTCCTAGACAAAGCAATTGCTAACGGACAGGGGTGGGCGAAATAGTGTGACGGTACCTTACCCGGCGCCTTCGAACAAACCCAATCTAAGCAGCCAGCACACTTCGGAAAACATTTCGCGGCACTAACGGGCATCACGAGAGGCTGCCTGGTCCTTACAGGACTAGTGATGTTGCTGTGCACTGGAGTCACTGGACCAAACGAGCCACAAGACATCATGCAACAATCTAGCCAGGTGTAACGATCTTCCGCATTGCTACCACAGGTGCGGGACCCCATGGCAGGGAAACGCACACTGATAACCAAGGACCTAGCTTTGTCGGGCCATGTCGGGGTGGGGTCTTAGGGTTCTCGAGGATGCCGAACTTTGCCTAAGGCTACAAAAGGCTTGACTTGTTTCAATTGTCGCAGCCGAGGGCTCTGCAATCGAGACGCCAGCGACCTTTTCGATCCATAGTAAGAGCAAGGCGCTTGTGGACGACATATGCGCATGCTTTGCTGGCGTCGTCGGCTGCGGTGCTGTCTATGACTAGCATCTCCGTCGAACCCATGGTACTTCAGGCTCGTGAAGCCATTTAGTTCAGAAGAAGTCGCACGACGAAAATTGCAACTGCAGCTGCAGCCCTTCGACGCGGACCTAACCGCTACGCCATGCAGTGCAAGACACGTGGCATTCCGTCTGCCAGCTACGTGCTCCGTTGTTAGACCCGTGATCTTTTGCTTCAGTGCCCCCTCGCACCTCTCGTTCTGGCGTCGAGCGAGTGCGCCCTACAAGGCCACTTACTCCCTGCTTGACCACAAAGATGCATAGAAACAAAAGCATGACAATCTTAGCTGTAATGAATCAGGATAAAAGTCCGAAGACTGGTTGTCTCACCTTCATGAACACCGTGGCCAACTTTATCATGTTCAACAAGTATCTGACTGGACGGAGCTCCCACATTTTCGGTTCCTTCTCGACATGTAAGCCTGACAGGCACTCTCAATCCGAAATCCGCGAGCGATTTGCGATTCTGACCCTCTCTCTCCGGCTCCCTGGGCTTCTCCCTCTCGCGGAAACCCATATCACCTAGGCTCTCCATGAATCAACTCTAATCCCTTTCAGGGCCTTGTCATAAGTATGACATTCTCTACTGGGGAGGCCCCGAATTCAGAGAACCGCCTGGTAACAGAAGCACTTGTGGCACAAGGCTTGCCATCTCGGGCACTTTGGTCCCGAGGCAGAGTAATTCACACTACGTCGGGCTGGCTGTAGGAGGCATCAGACACAGGCAGTCTGGGCCGGTTGGTTAAGGTTCACCGACCAGCTAAACTCAAATTATCAGCACTACAAGTGCAGCTGTAGGTACCTCGTAACCCGACCCTGGCCTTGAACATTCTACGTATTACTACCCATGCATCTTCAAGTGTATGGAGTTCAACCAGCACGTCATGCAAATTCAAAGATGCTTGCCCGTGCTTCTGAAGCAACTCCTCCTTTTCCGCGAACTGTCTGTGCAGAGGCACTCGGCAGGAGAAACTTTTGGGGATGTTTTGGATCGAGGCAGGATCCGGGACTTTCTCCGGCCAAGGTCGACTACACAAACGGCTTTGCCACACCCGACCTCCCCTACACCACTGCACCTGAGTGGGGTGCATACGCTTCTCCTGGACCCTGCAGAGATGTAGCTTTTATGCACCTCTGCTTATTGGCTTTGCCGTGAACACTATAAAGCCACTATCACAACCAATTGCCATACCAAGCTCTGCATCCGCAACATGTCCATGAATCAGATGGGCCTCACAAGGGCGCACCCCGCTCAGCTTCAGGTGATGTAGTTCTAGCGCTACATATCTGACCATCTCCTTTCACCCCTCTGAGGGATGCACGAGCCCGTAGCCTGCAAACATCCATGGTGTCATGGTGTCAGTATTGTCAGTCTGAGGTAGTCCGGAGTGGGAAATAGTGGGCATCGTCCTGGCTCTGACAGTACTGAGGGAATTGCGCTGAGGGCTTTCCGAAGCCGTCAGAAGCTTTGAAGTCCAATGGTCGGGAAGCATAGCTACTGCTGACAGAAATTCTGGTGCAGTCGCACGTGCTCTCAGTTCCCAAGGAGACCTGGTTTCTTCGCAGACAGTTATGAGCCGAATCTCCGAAAATCAACATCATCCAAAACCCAAAAAAAACCTTCCACCCCGAACCCCATTCGCCGGGAACACCGGGCAAAACAAGCGAAGCCTCTGAACGTCACAGCGCGATGGTTTTCTTTGTGCTCAGCTTCCCGAGCCTTGGAGGGAGAATTCAGGAAGCACGATAAGGGGTTCAAGTCTGATTCGCGAAATGATACAACGGCTTTGTTCGAGGCTTCGCTGCTACATACTGCTAGAAGCGAGGGGTCATCGGATGGTGGGATCGTCTAACAAACGATCGGAGTATTTCAGGATTTGGCAAGCCCGGTGATTCTAGCATCTTGTGGTGCGCTTCAATTGCAGTGAAGCAAAGCCAAGGCCTGCTGTATGGCATAAGGCGGCATGTCAGTTGAATGCTGGGATAGGTTCTGATTTCAGCGAAGACGCTGAAATAGCTTGTAAGCTCACATCACGACTGGTCAGAGCTGGAAATTCGGACCCGGGAGACTGGGGCAGGCTGCTGCCACCTAGGAAGCAAACAGATATAGATTGCAGAGTCAATGCATGCCAGCCCAAGTCAATGGTGTGTAAGAAGCGTTGTGCCTTGCGATCTTGTTCTTGAACTTTTCCATCGAATATTGAGAATTGGCTGCTTCTGTCGCACAAGTGCAGTGACCGTTCATCGTCCAGCACACTAGGCGTACCTTGAGATGTCAGGCTCGCGGCAGTTGTAAGGCGTAGCACGTGTAGTGGTAGTTGACACGATTGTATTGCAAATTTTCTGAAAGCCTTCTCCAAACGTGGGGCCGGTGCCTTTGCTGCAGCTTCACACAGACGGACGTCAAATTTTCGTCCACCTCCTCCAAACAGTGGCACGGCGGAAACAAGACTATGCCCTTTGTATACTGGCCAGTGCTTGCAACTCCACCGCGACTGCAACAAGACCAACAGGAACTGTCACAAGCAAGATCAACAACAACAATGATGGCCATAGCAGCTACAGCCAGCAGAAACAGACGACTACTACCCCACTCCGACCACTCTTGCTTACTACTCCTACTTCTACAGCAGCAGCAACAACGGCGCAGGACTGATGTTTATCTTTCCCGTTGCTGCTGATTTCGCTGCCACACTGTCACTACCTGGCACTGCTGATGCTGATGCTGATGCTGTTGATGTTGTTGTTGCTGTGGTGGTGGTCTTGATTGCGTGAACATGTTGTTGCAGTACCCTCGGTGGCTGGTGTTGCCATTGCATTTTGCAGTTGCCTGCCGTCTCCGTCTGCTGCTGGACATGTTCTTACTGTAAAGTCTGCACGTAATGCCTGCTCAAACTGTTTCACACCATCGTGGATTTCGCATAACCCTGAAACCGAAACTATGCGACCGGACAACAAAAAATCATTCTTCAATTTTGCTGCCAAGTGGTTTCGACGAGTTGCAGCATTTCGGGTGGAGGCGTATGCGCGTCAGCGGCTAGATGACAGTCAGCTAGAAGCAAAGGCAAGGCCAAGCGAATCAACATTGAAGATACACCTGTGCAATGTAGGCCATGTCAAGCCCTCAAGTCTGGCGACTGACTCGAAGGCGACTATTCATGGTTGTTGGCACCACGTGCGCGGAGCAAGCAAAGCATTGGCAGCCTGCATCTTGAAACGGCGCAGCCAGAGCACATCTAAACACCAACAATTTTTATGCTATTTTTCGTGAACTCAAGGCCTGAACACAACAGCCCAAACCCTAGAACCGAACACTCCTTGTCCCTGAATCGACTTCAGTCCATCGAGCCTGGTTGTGGTGTGCATTGGGCGGTCCAATGGCCTGGCAGATCTGGATCATTGCTCGTGACTCTGAACCGGTCCCCCATAAGAGTAAGAGCAGTAGGCTACCGTCTTCGTGTATGCTTGTTAGTTGTTGCCGCTTGAATCGTGGGACTTCGAGTTGCAGTGAAGTCCTCTACGTTTGGGGGGGACCCTAGAATGGAACGTGCGGGAGATGTCAGGCGGTCAGGATTTGCAGGTCGCGCTGGACAATCGCAGCCGAAAGCAAAGTCAGACGCCACACAACCATCCTAGAACAAACAAACAAGTCCTCGTTCTAAGTATCACCCGCTTCTTCTGCTTTCTCGCCGCATCACCCTCCACGGCACCGTAAGATGCAGCATCAACATCTGTAGCTCTCCCTCAGTCTCACGCCTGCAATGAACTACTGAAATATGCTGAAATGGACTGAGCAATCCAAAAAGCCGCTGAAGACAACATGCGTAACTACGCCCTTTTGTGCAACCCTGGAACTGACTCGTCAACAAGGCCTTGGTAGTGAAACTAGTCCCGGATGAAACGGTATAGTTCACAGTTCACTTTGCGAATCCTGGCCTTTCAGCGCAGAGCACTCGCAACAAGCCCTGCATGAAAATTAAACCTGTGCAAACGCGTGGCAGCCATCTTTCTCGCTTTGCAGCCGCGGGCGCGGTGCTGAAGCAGCTATAGATTGAAGGGCCAAACGAGGTTGCCGCAGCAGAGTAGTCAAGTAACACCGAGCATTCTCGTTCGCAAGTGTCCACCTGTAAGTCTTGCTGCAGCATTGTCCTTGACCCCAGCCGCGAAACCGCTAGACTGCAATAAACGATGGGGCTCGTCGGCTGCCCTTCTCTTGCAGCACACGGTCTTTCCGCTTCGAAGATCTATTCCATGGACCTCATTACCGTAAGATTCGACAGCTTGTACTTTGGGCTTGGATGAAGACTGGCAGTCTTGGCCGAGGGCGAGGGGCGACGGCACTTGAGCCTTTTTTCCACCGGAAGGCTTTATGTTCTCCATCCGGCCGCATAAACCCCGAAACCATGCATGCTGAACCCGACTGTCTATCCGAATCTACAAAGCTGGGAAACCCAGTCATCCCTGACCGCTTTTTCGCATCTCACCTCATGACTAGCAAAGGGATAAATTTCAGGATATTTTTGCCTCTTGCATGGCGAGGGATCTATGCCAACAAGCGTTAAGGCGAAGGATTTAGAATACGTGTGTTTGTGTTTTTGTTTGTGGTTGTGTGTGTGCGCGTGCTTTTTGTTTCACCGGCTTGTTTGTTTTGTGCTTGCTTATTTCTATTCTTAACGTTCGTTTGTTTGTTTATGACTTTCATCTAACCAACACTAAGTCATCCTGCAATTCCTCTAATATGCCATCCCGGATTCCGGGATTCTTCCGGGACCCGGAAGACCCTTCTCCAAACCCCTGTTCTGTTCCCCAAAGCTTGAACCAGAAATGAACGGTTATTGCAACAGGCTCCTATAACCCTACTAAGTACTAGTAGAGCTTGAGGTCAGGGGATCGGCTCCCCAATCTCGCCAGCGCCCTGCCAACTCGAGTCCACATGCTTGGAGGAGAAGATCGGCAAACGGTTTCCTGTGCTGGAGAAAAGACTTCGGGTTTGCCGAGCTTTGGGTTTAAAGCTTGGAGGTTAACAGGGCCAGTCCCACGCGAGATGTTGGGTGATCCGGAGTTCCTCTTCGGCTCATCAGCTTGACTTGGGCAAGTTTGGCTCGCGTGAGCGGAAACGCCAAGTGAGACATCTCAAGGCTTTCCATAATTGCTCAAGATACCAGAGCCCGGGCCCCACCGCATTGAAATGTCACCCTTTGCTTTGCCAGCCTTGCTAGCGCCGAGTGCATGCAAACACTCCCTGATTGAAACTTGCAACTAAATCGGACAGTTCGCCTCGCGAACCTCGATCCATTCGGTGGTAACTTCCCTGAAGCTTAGCATGTATAGAACAGACAAACCCTCTACTAAGCCAAGTTGCTCATGTGGACACGGTCGATTTCCCAAAGGAGGTCCTGCAAGAGCCCGCGCGACAGGGGCAGCTGCAGTGCGACTGATGGGCTTCGTCTAACATGTGCACCACTATCGTTCCCGACAGAGGGAAGCCCGCTTGCGCAGAATGTTACCGACTCAAGTCTGGAGTTGCCTTTGCATGCATCCCCTTGGCGACTTTAGCTTTCGGAACACGGAAGTAGACCCATGAGCTACTGAGCCTTACTGAGTTACTGAGCGACTGTCTAACTGCACGAGTCAGTTAGCCGTAAGGCCCTCATCTCACCCCGGCCGGTCCCTCGGAAGGGGGTCTTTGTTCTGGAAGAAGCCTAACAGTGACCGAGCAGTCGATGTTGGACAAAGGGAAGGTTGGCGTGTGAGACCCCTGCTCGACGGCAATCAATTGAAAATGCTGCCTCCCAGACAAAAATAGGGACCCGAGACCATGCATTTGAAGTCAATTTCGAATTTCGACCCCTCAAACCCCAAAGCGCGCGAGAAAACATATCGTTCTCAATCCTATAGCAAACTTTCGTGAAGGTCCAGGGTTGAGACCAAGACAAGCAAACCCTCAAGCGACCAGCAGCACCCAACGGGCTGGCGACATACCCACGAATATTACCTTTACCACCACCACTACGATTACAATTGCAACTGCCACTGCCAATGGACATTTGCGATTACGATTGCAACTGCTGCTGCTACTACGACTACGACTACCGTTGCTACTGCCACTACTCCTTCTTCTACTGCTACCACAACAACAACTACTACGACGATGACAACACCAACTACTCTACCACTACTGCGACTGCTACTGATACCACTGCTACTACCGCCATCATTCCCACCACCACTACTCCTGCTGCTGTCGCTGCTACTGATGCTGCACTAACACCAGCCAGTTACCTTTACCAGCGCTGTAGCCATTGCTGAAATTAACACTGATGTGGTTATTGCTAGTGTTGCAGCTGTTCTTGCACCATTTATGTGCTGCTGTGGGAACAAGGCGTTTGCAAGCTGAGCGTCGCAGATCTTCTTCCAGCTGGGCCATGTTGCTAGTCCCCAGTAGCACCTCGCTTTTGCCGGGTTCAGTTTAGATAAAGGCAAGGAACATGTATCCCATAAAATACTTGGCGCCCTTTTACATGACGACAGCAGCACAATGGTAAACACATAAGCGGCGGAAATAACGGAAGTAGCAGCAACAACTAGCAACTATAATGCTGCCGCCGTGGCCGCACGCCCCTTCGTAATCAGCAGCAAAGCCTTAGCCTGAGCAACAGCACCACCACCGACCACCACCAACAACAAAAGCAACCACCAACAGCAACCGCCGCGACAATGACGACGAAAAGACAATTAAGGACAAAGGCTGGAACCGCAACTCAACCAAAATAATTCCAAGCCGCAAGACCAACAACAGGTACAAAACGAACAACACTGAAAACCACGACGACAACACCCATGACTTAACCACCACCGCCACTGCCACTCCCACCACAGCCATCACCACCACCGGCATGGTTGAGCTTCGGGTGTAGCCTGCACGAAAACGAGGAGAGACGACAAAGAGGGGTCATGACGCAAGTGCACAGCAGTCCTTGCAGGCACCGGCCTCTAGCAGCGGCAGCGATCAAGGCAGCGGAGGTTGTCACAACGTCCGGCCCTTCAAATGCGCAACTTCAAGGCGGCCGCTTGCAGAACTTCTATCTGCACAGGCCTCTGGCAGAACAGGGCTTTCTTCAGCAGAAATCATGGGCCATCATTGGCAGCGGCAGTGAAGCCGCTTTTGTTGCGCAAAACGCGAGTGTGGCACGCAAGTTTTGTCGTTGCCAACGGACTGTGCCCAGCTGCGTCGGTTAAGCCTTGGGTCGGTTTCTGTGGGCCTCAACGTGCGGACACTGAAGACTCAAGCCGGATGCGCTGACGGGGGCAGCTTGCAGCATGGTGTAACAAACTGCTTCTCTGAAGCAGTCTTTGCCCGAACCGAGTAGGCAAATCGTTGCAGTCGGTGAAGCAGCTGCTTCAATGACTTTGCATCGGTCCATTCCGCCACAGGTTTGCTTGCCACCCACTCCGGTGAGAGCAACTTGACGCACAGCATTGTCGTGGAAATCAGGCACAGCCGATGGCAGGGCCCAAAAATCCTATTTATCCTATGTAAAACACCCAAGCTCTCTCTCTAAATCCGAAAAACCCTGAAAGACCACATCATGATGAAACACGAGCCAGAACTGCATGCCCGGAGAGTGCAAGTTGCCTGTTTATGCTTTTGAAAACCCTAACCCAAAGGGGGTTATTAAGTACATTGATAGGGAAACCCCTTTACTCTGCAGGTACTTAGGAGCCTTGAAAATAGGGAGAAGCACACGAACAAACAACGACACAACTTGCAACATTCGACATACATACACACAACCTACATTTTCTCTATATGTATGTATGTGTGTAGGAAGGTAGGTAGTTATGTACATAGGCATAGTATGTGTATATTTAGCCTAGAAACAATAAACATTATGTCTGCGCAAATTCATGGATGCCTGTACGTGTGTGCATGTGTTCGGTATGCGAGGGAGGTGCATGTGATTCTGTCAAGCCCACTAGTTGCAAGCATGAGAAAAGAACTCGATACCTCCAAGACCGCTGACTGGATCCATCCGACGTGGCTCAAACAAGTAACAGACTTCTCTTCAGCGTTACGTCCGAAGCCCAAAACATTCAAACATGCAGCCTAAAGATGCCTAAACCCTACACCCTGTATGGAGGGACCGGCTCTAAACTCAACTTTCTGCCCAGACACCGTGGTGCAGCCACGGCGGCTGCGGCACCACCGGAGGCTGAGCTCCTGCTGATGCTCAGGCACTCAACGGTGTTCTTGTTAAGGAATCTGGTTAAGTTACCATAATGAAAAACCATATTGCTTACTATAGATCCCTGGTATGGTACCTTAAAGCAAATCCATTAACAACAACCCAAACTTTCCGAGCTTCGTTTAATTAAGAACTGCAAAGCTCTGGGGCGAGCACCACGTCTGTTCTCGACATGCAGGCTTTGGCCTATCGTTGTAGTTAAAAAGCGACCCAGGAGTGAATCCATGCAACATCCTTCCCAAGCCTTCTTCGAGTTCAAGGTGATACGCACAAACACTGCTGTCCTTCTTGCCCGACAGCCTGACTTTTGTGACAGGCTCGCCGAGTAAACTATAAGTTCAAATCCCCCCCTAGACATAGTGGACCTCTGAACTTGTGAAGCACAACTGCATTCCTGAAAGCAGCTTTCGAGGCGCCGAACGGCGACCCATCCATTATGTTCTCCAACACCATCCCAATTTCTTAAAACCGTCATGAAAACCCGAAATCCGCAACCAAACCCACGCGAAGTCCGCCAGGGAGATGCCCGCCCGCTTCGCAAGCGCAGAGTAGGCTGCAATGGCCTACATAGGCAAGATTGGCACTCCGCACTGGAACTTGTCGGCCTAGTCTACTTTGAAACAGGAGTGTGCATTGCAGGTGATTGCGGAGGAGGCTAAAATCCAAAGGACCCACGATGCCTCCACCGCTGCCTCAGATCGATAACCTGCGGTTGCCGTGCAGGAATTCTGTCGGGGACTGCGCACAGCCCGTGTTGACCTAAAGAGAAGTTCCTACATTCCCAGTAGTCTCGTGGCACGTTTGGAATGCAATAGGTTCCCAGGGACCCCGTCTTACACGGGGTGTGTGCATCTGCCAGCAACCGAGGCACCGACTGTGCCTTATACATCCCATCAAGCCCCAAAGACAACCCCTCCAGGCAGGCAGGCAGGCAGACGGACAGACAGACACACGCAGACACACACACACAGACAGACAGACAGACAGGCAGGCGGGCGGGCAGGCAGGCAGGCAGGCAGACAGACAGACAGACAGACAGACAGACAGACAGACAGACACAGACAGACAGACACAGACAGACAGACACAGACAGACACAGACAGACACAGACAGACAGACAGACAGACAGACAGACACAGACAGAAACACGTACACACACGCACACACAGACAGAAACACGTACACACACACACACACACACACACACACACACGGACGGACGGACGGACGGACGGACGGACGGACGGACGGACACACACACACACACACACACACACAACACACACACACACAGAGACACAGAGAGAGACACAGAGAGAGCCACAGAGAGACGCAGAGAGACAGAGACACAGAGACACACCCCTTGCTTGAGTCCTCTCACATCCTACGCGTCCTCTCCTTAACCCTGTCAAGCTGAAAACTTCAGTTCTCCGACAGCTTCTCTCCGGGTCACGGTAGAGGGTGCCGCCCCAGCCGTAGGTGTCCATGCGACCGCGGGGGTTCTGGGAAGGACGGGCATCGGGTCCATCTTGGGAATCGAATTGAAAAGCCAACAGAAGGCGTTCACAGTCAGATCCCTAAGAACGTCTGGTGGCCACAGCAGCTGTAAAGACAGTCGGAGCTCGGGGGCTTCTGGGTATCAAGCTGATATCGAAGAGAGTGTGCTCCATGACTCATCACTCAATGGTTTGTTGAGCTTCAGGCTTGCTTTCCTGCATGAGGCAGGTAATGCATGTTTTGCCCATTGCTGCTGACCAGCTAACGATCGAGAAAACCCACGTCAACCTCGATGCGCAAATGCGTTTGATGCAGATGAGCGTAAGACAACTGTTGATGTGTCTGTGGCCCAAAGCCCGGATAATGAACGTTAGAGTCTTGCGAAGAAAGAATGCCTTAAGCATCATGGGCACATCGAGATACCAAGAGGCTTAAGACATAAAGCGGAACTCGGCAAATGACCCCCCGCAGATGTCAACACAAACCAAAGAAGCAAAAGAGAAGCAAACAGATCTTAGTTTCGTACCGCGAAGTACATGAGGGATTTGGCCGTGTTGACTAGGAAGGAGTCCTCCCAAGTACAGTGGAATCAATGGAACCCCGAAGAGAGGAGTGTGTCAACAGGCTTCGGGCTTTTGATGCCGAAGTACACCTGCAGAGTGCGAAGCGAGATGCTGAACTAGCAAGTTGTTAGAGAGAAGAAAGAAACATTAAAAGCATACAGTCCCTCCCTCTCACACTCTCGAACACGACAACGCCACCACCGCCGGCACCACCACGACCAGCACCACGATAACCCCCACCATCACAACAACAGCAACAGCACCATTTGGAGGCCGGTTTCAACGCCGGTGCCGACGACGCTGCTGCGACCACCGCCACCACCACAACCACCAACCAACAGCAACAGAAAGACGATGCACTGATTTAGTGGGGTGTTGGTTGTAGCACGACTACAATTCCTAAAGTCGGCTAGAGACTCCGAGAATAGACGAAAAAGCACGTTGCTCCGCTGCTCGTACCGTCAAGGTCATCACCACCGTCGCCACCACCACTACCACCACCCCCGCCATCAACATGCCATCGACGTCGTCGTTTATCACGATGTCCCACTCGACCCTTCCATCCGCATCCCAGTCATGAGCACTGAGTACCAGAAGGAATCAACAGCACAGAAGCTGCGAGCTTGACCCGTGGTACCAGAAATACATGATCTTCGTGGAGGTTCCTTCATCAACTTCTCTGCAGCATCCTCGGAGGGGCTGTCCAAGGCGGCGGGCTTGTCCATGTATTTGCCTCTTGACGGCTTCGGGTTTCGACTCTCGCGATCCCCCAATGCAGGGAAAGCTTGGGGATTCGGGGTTTTGGGATGCAAAACACCTGAACCCGTGTCCCCAAACTCTTAGTCGAATAACCTGAATTCTTACCCTGCCTAGTGCATTGCCTCAAGGTTGAACCACGCCACACTCAAGGGAGGCCTTTCGCCATAAGTTTGAAGGCAACGAACTGACCGGTTCGATGTCGGAGGAACAGAAAACTGAATTGTTGGAGCTTTGATTCCCTCAGGCATAAATCATGTGTCTGGGTTCGGCACATGCCGTGCCAGGCTTGGAGTTAAAACCTTTCGTCTGGTGGGGAAGTTGGTTTACATGCCGGCGTTGTAAGCGAGAGAAACGGGAACTGCGTTGTCTCTGAGTATCCATAATCTGGCACCTAGCGAGGACTTTCCCAAATAAGTGACCCCATACTCCATACAACCCTAAACAGTAGGATCCCAGTCGTAAGAGCTTCTAAACAAGGTATCCCCAAAATTCGATAAATCTACGAGACTCGATATGTAGTCTTGCAGGATGCTTATTTCCCCTTGCACATGTACCGCACATCCTCAGCATCAAACTTCTGAAACCCTGGTTCTGAACCATATACCCTTAAGCCTCGGCAGCCTCAGAATTACTACACTCTTCACTGAATCGCCTGTCAGCATCCCTCCGGCCAGTGCATTGTAAGCCATGAAGCCAACCTTAGCAGCTCTGATGTTATGAGGCGACATGGTTTCCGTCAACTCGTACCGCTCGCATGATACGTTGATATCTGTTGGTATTTCGGATTGGCTTCTTCTTGACAGGAAACGTGCGGGCTCTCGAAAAAAACTCCAACCAGCAGAATCTAAAACTTGAGCAGAACGATGGGGGGCCATCTGAAAGCAAGCAGCGTTCTCATGGATCGGAGAGGATGCCTCAAACACCTGAGCTGTGTCCGCTACCAGGAAACACCTCCAGGGCCAACGCCTGGAGAACAGGAGTAGGGCACCGAGTTTTTATCTGAACCTGGCAGACACCGTCATCCGCGATCATCGGGAACACAAGAAGTCCTAGCCATCATGTGTCCAAGGTGCACCTTATTGCTACGAGGCCCTCCTCCTATCCCCAAACTCCCGGAACTTTCCACATTAAACCCTGCTCGTATGGCCACGTTGCTCCGTTTTCCTCAGACTTCCGATCGATCATGCTGTAGTCACCTGTTCGGTACAAGTGACTTCAGAGAGCTGCGGTTCACCTTGCAAGTATCATTATTTCGTATTCCTTGCTGTTCTGATGTATATAACACTGCAGTCTTGAGTCTATGTGTGCGGCACGCGCCGTTGAGGATGTTCCGGGGTGTGCAGCCTTAGACAGCCCGTGATTCCACGCGTGGCTAGCCGTTGGAACGCTGGCACATTTGTCTATAGCGACCTAGCAGGATCTAGCAAGTTCTATCCAGGACATGTCTACACGGACCCTTTTTCGGGTTCACACGGACGCGAAATCCCTGAACCCCATAATTCCCTGCATGTATGGGGGAAAGGGGGCTCTGATTGCCTTGGAATGAGATCGGCGGCGGAACGCCAAGCCGCTTAGCGGTCTCACAGCACGCTGTGAGGCCGAAGGCGTTGTCATTGCCTGATGCTGTAACTCGGTGTTTCCGATGTGGGAGTGAGCAATAGAACTAATTAAACAAGAAAGTCCAGACAAGTGACGTACGCATTTCTGGCAATCACGAGGATCGGCGGAGAGACTTCGAACACTGGGAGGTTCAGGGTAAAGAATGATCCAACTTTTGTGACTGCAACAGTTGGTGTACGGGTATTCAGGTTCAAGCCGCAATTGAGATCAGGCGGGGATGCGAGGGAGGTGGTTTGGTGGTCTCAGGTCTCATAGCGAAGCGCACCAGGTCCAGGCCGTGCCATAGCAATCAACTTATCACAGCTGCGCTGGGCGGCGGGAACAAAAATAAAATGCCACGGTAGGATGATGAGCTGCCTATGACAGCAGCCCGAACCTGAGCCGGGTGTTTCGCGACCCGGTACAGCTCAAGACCCGCTCATCAAGCCAAAATCACCGGAAAGAACTCCTGGGATCCAAGTTGCATAAGCCCCATCCTCTGATTTTGCCTCAGCCACTGAAGCTAACACAGAGGAGGCGTGGAATGCAAATGGAATCGCGGGATTCGGGCAGCGGCATTGCAGCAACGCAGCGTACTTGAAGCCTCAGGGGTATAGTACGGGGGCCATGATGTGCTTATCTAGCGACTACAATGACTCCAAGCGAGTACTGCTACTATTCCGACCTACGAGTAGTATGCTTTGCCACGCGAGCTCCACCTGAGCTCACATGGCTTGGTTGCTCGAAGCCCCGTTTGGGAAGTGCGGGGGGGGGGGCCAGGAGGAAAACAGATGATAGAGACCAGACGCAGTGTCTGCCCGTGCAGCAGGATATATCCAGTACAAGTTAAGGTCGCAACAGCCACCCAGATCATTCTCGGAAATGCCTTCCCTTGATCCGATTAACTGTTTTGATCTAAAGCTGAAGCCTTCTTCCGGGTGGCCCTCTTTGATCAGAGCGCCCATCGAAGAGCACAGCTCTTCAAAGGAGGCACCCTCCATTCCCATTCCGCCAAACCTTGGATCATGCTTTCTATTTGCCTGAAGCCGAGGCATTCTCATCTTTCTTTGTTTAGGAATCTCCCAGCTGGGTATATGTGATCGGCTGTCGTAGGGTCCGGTTCAAACATCGCATGGAGTACGAATTCCATCCAACACGGCTGCATCAAATTCCGCAGACAGAACCCAGCTGAACTCCACTCCTGCCAGCAAGCTGCTCCTCCACAGAATAATTGTACGTCAGGCTCTGGCCCCAATTGGCTTGCGGAGAGTAGCGCGACGGCCAGTGTGTCTGGTACACATCGATGTAGTCGGTGCCCAATCGTTTGAGACTTCCCTCACAGTCGTCTCCTTAGGGCAGCTCTCCCTTCCTTCAGGCGGAGTGGCTTATGAACGTTTCAACTGGCACGGCACCTTGATGTAACGAAACAAAACAACAAGTGTACCACAAAACCAACTTCCGCTGACCCGGGAAAGTGGCAACTGACAAAGCTGTACTGCACGCTGCAGCAACATGACGGAAGCAGCCAAGACGTCAAGCCAAAGAGCAAGCCATGTTGAACTGACATGAAAGCTGCTGAGGAGTACCACACCGGCGGGTATGAGGGTTTAGGCAAAGGTTCCGACATGAACCTGGTGCGGCTCTCGTCTATCAATAACAACAGAGGGAAACTCGACGAGCGTGAGAGGCCACGAGGACAGGTTGCTCCACGCACACATTTCATGAACACCTGCACTGCCAATTTTCCATGAAAGCGCAAGCAAGCTTCCCGTCCCCAACCGCAATGCCTGCAAAGCCATCAAAGACTCCTCTCGCCAAGGCACGGATGTTTTTCGGGGTTACGTTGAAGCCTCCAGTAATCTTGGTCGCAATGACCTGGGCTTCGGGATTCCATGCAGACTCAGCGTGCAGGATGCAAAGACCAACAGACAAAGCGCATACCCACATTGGTCCCTACGCTGCCTGCAAAAATATTTGAAAACCGCTGGGTGATCCAATGGGCCGTACATTTTGCCACGGTATTCCGTGCTGCAAACAAGCACCAGCAAGAAGCCATCATGCTCTTTCTAAGGACCCTCGTGGAAAAAATGCATTGGGCTCTGCCCTTCAGCCACTTGGCGAGTTTGCGCCGTCGTCCGGCTTCTTTTGCCATCCACCTGCCTCAGGTTGGAGACGACAACGAAGCATGCGACGAAGCGATAATTGATGTCGGGTTTGCAGACCTGTCCCGAAAGACCAGAACTCTCAGTTTGGGCAACTTTAGTCACAGACGTCATGACCACTGCATCGGCAGTTCTCTGCCCCGTGAATCTTCGTGTTCTCCTAACCACCATGCCACAATGCCGCGACTGACGACGAACACGACGTGAATCAGAATTAGGATGATAGCCGTGATGGTGCTGAAACGATGTGGCAATTGCTTTCCTTCCACTGTCAGCGAGAATAGGTCTGTGTGATATCGACGCATTGCGTTATGCTTTACACCTTCCGTGGCAACACACCACCAGCGCCCGCTGTCATGCTGTGAAGCTAACTGCTGCTTCTTGATTGCTTGATTGAAGTAAACTCTGTATAATGTCCGTTGTCGCCAGCTAGTGGTATTTATGCAATGTTAACCATATGACTAGTCAGTGTGGCCATGGTGCTAAGAGTAACAGCTGAATGCCACAAGCAAGTCGTCGTCGTCGTCGGCTGTCGTCAACGTTGTTGCTGCTACCAGTCCCAACTCACAAGGCAGACCCCGGAGTCATTCGGAACAGAGTGCTGGACGGATGCTCACTGCGCCTGCCAATATGGTTTTGGCTGCCACAACTGCCAGGACGTGCTTATTCCATGTAATTCCCAACATCCGTGATGTCTGTGCCCGGTCGCCGATCACTTCTTCGCAAAGCCCTTCTGGGCGCGCATTGTCTGAAGGAATCGGGTACCTGCCAAGAGGGTCATGGTCATGACAGCTAGGCTGCTGGCTTTCGTTGCATAGGTTCGGGCTGGTACTCGGATCATCGACTCGCATGCGAACGGGAATAGGAAATTTCAGAACATCAACCCAAGCAACGACTTGAAAAGCTTTTCTGCCCAGCCCCAGGCTTCCGAAGTCATCGAACATATCTCGCTGTGAGGCCCATGTTTTGTGGAAATCCAATTGTGCATGATGCTGTGGGGCAACCGCACAGTATATGGGTAACTTCTGGTTGCTGCCTAAGACCCGTGCTCTTCATAAGCCCTGTGACTATGGCTATCATACCAGCATGGATCCTCCTGATTGGGGGGCATTCACGCAGGGGTCTCGCGCGCTGCGCGCACTTCTCGGCCAAGCGGCTGTTCTGCCGTGTCGACAAGGTTCACCCCGGAGCCCAGCACGGCACGGTCGAGGAAAGCCTGGCATTGCGCTTCCTCGGCGCACGAGTGGCTTTGCCTCGTCTAAAAAGATCAAAGGTGATCGACTTCTTATTGCCAGCAAGGGGTCACCGGGAGTCTCGGAATGCGAGAGGGCTGGAAACCCGGATTTTCTTGTGGACCCCCTGTGAAAGAAATTCGGTTCAGACTCATCCGGCGCGTTGAAGTCCGCAGAGACCCAGCGCTGCGTGCCCAGCGCCAACTGCAAGGGACGGTCCGGGACGGGTTGTGCAGCTTTCCTAGATCGGGCACAGGGCAGGGCTTCAGTTTTTTTGTCAGGCATGAGCTGTGTTGCAGTGCTCAGAGGCGAGAGCTTGCTGACACCACCTGCGCTGCAGCACTTGCAAGGTCAGGCCGGGCGGTTGCTGCCCCTCAGACTCGTGTTGTCTAGGCTGACTTGTCCGGCTTGATTCTCAACAGCCCCTGAAAGCGGGGAGCTGTACAGTTATCCGCGCTTAAGCGCGGAGTGGGTCTGGTCTGTCCAAAGGTGGAGTTCGGAGAGAGTGACGACAGCGCTAAAGGAGAGTGGGGTAGCCCTCGGCATTGAGCCTCCGAGACGACCACGTCGGAATTTCCGAGTCGCTTCTGCCGAATGCCATCCACGGTCTGCACCACCTCACGTCTGAATCATGCCTAAGACTGAGTGCTCAAACCCTGACAGGCCAACTTTTCTGGTTCAGCATTGTCATCGGTGAAGCTGCTGAACTTCGCTGGCACTTCGTAGCTTCCAAGCTTACTGTAGATCTTCCCGACCACAGGAGTGGCACCACCAGAGGCAGGTGTGAGTCTAGGTCTAGGCCCGAATCACTTGCAAGCGCGACACCTCTGTCAAGTATGTCGGGGCATCTTGGGAAACGCAGCTCAACCTTCATCGACACACATTGGGCATGGAACTCAAAAATGCCTCGTTGGTCGGCTGAGGCGGCTTCGGCGTCTTCGAAGTCCTTGCCAAGACCGGAGCCTTTCAGGAACGGCAAAGATGTTTCGTCAAAGGCACACATTGTCATGTCTTCGAGCCAAAGTCTTTGTGTCTTTGGCTTACGAAGAGATCGCCTGCGGGGCCACTGCCGCAGCACCGGCAGCTCCCACGAGTCGCCGTCTCGCAGTGGCGCTGGCACTTGGAGAAGTGCCTGAGACCTGTGATGTGAGTGGCACGGCACAAGAACTCATCGTGAGATGAACTGCCGTCTGTGCCCGAGTTCTGCACACAAACCCTCAATCCCACATCATCTTTGCACAATGATCGCGCCTCACCCCCTGCTCCACGCACGGCACGTGCCGCAGCAGCGTGCCGGCGCTGCACTGCAACCTGTGCTAGCCATTTTTGTTTCTCAGAGCTTTGTCAGGTGTAGCTCGTCTTCCGTCAGGACCGCCCATGCTATGCCCTTATTGGGGAAAACAGCCCCGAGATTTGACCAGATTGGGCTTCCACTGGGAGATGGAACCTGCGCAAGACTCTTAAAGAGAAAACTCAAAGCTGACCCACCTGAGAAGCGATGCAATGGACTCTTTGACCAGGGGAAAGAACACCACAAATGGTGTTACAATGTAAGCGAAAGCTGGTTCTGGCCCGGTGGCCCAGCCCCCTATAGCCACGAGGGCCAGCGCCGCTCTTGGTTTCGTTGCATCTGCAGCCGGGCCTCCGCCACAGGCACAGGCACATATCCCACAACTTTTGTGGGGGTCTCTCTGCTTGACCAACCGATGCGTGATTCTATGTTACCCCATACGCTGTGACGACAGACGGTACCGTTAAATTTGTGTTGATTCGACGCCGCCACTGCCAGAACCACCAAAGGCACACTGGGCTTGTCTGTCTGCTAGTTGTGCCGGTCGTTTTTGTAATACTAGCAGCAGAACCATACGACTGCTACGGTTCATGTTGTCGTTGTGGTTACCGGTGATCTGACTCTCCGCACAAGTCAAGCAAAGCTCTGAACCCTTTGCCATGCCGGGCCTGGCCGGGCAGTTTGCTGGGTGCTCGCAACTCCGAGCGCTGCTGCTGGAGCGGGACGAACAGGAAGCACTTGCAGTGCTGCCATCTTGCAGCAAAGTTGTCACTGTGTGTGATGGTGTGAAGTCTAATCTAATCTGTTTTGGAAGGCTTCGAAGGGTGGGGAAGGCAACATGCTTGTGATGCGGATGCTAAGATTGTCCAGACAGAAGTCGGGCTGGCATGGCTTGAGCCTCAGCTCGCGACAAGCAAGGTGGGAGCCCAGTCGCAGAAAAGCCTTGCTCTGCTTGGCAAGGGTTGTGGACCTATTCAGTGGAACGGCCGCCTTGCCATTGCCGCTTTTCCACATCCGCCTGCCGAGGCTTTGTCTCGCCTGCACCAGCAGGTCAGAGTCCGAAGCATGACAGTCCAGCTGAACGCCGCAGCTCCCGTCTTACTCAGCTAAGCGGGATGCTGATGAGAGGGGTGGTAGCATTGAGGTCTTGCCGCAAAGTCGACACAATGAGGCCACAAGAGCCTGCGTGGCAGTGGACGAGGCGGCCTGCAGTCCTCAGTGCTTTGGACATCTCCGACAAACCTCTAAGTCTAGGGGGGAAAACCTACACCAGCCCCTAAATCACTTGCGAAGTGGAGACAATCCCAAACGAAAACATGGCTTCCATCCGACTTCCACGGCCGACACTACACATCGTTCAACGAAAAAGTGGGCTTGGTTAACAGGTCTTGCTGGCATCTTTCCCACATCGGTTTCAGACCTCATCTTCCTGCGAAGCAGCTTTCTACTTGTAGGCCTTCGCAAGCTGCCGGGAATTTGCGGCAATATTGTCCCAATTTCCTGAAACCAAGGTGCAAATGGTCTCAGCACGAGTCAGACTCAATCCATGGTCCAACTTTCTGGACTTCGCAGTATACCCTGAGTGCTACTACTACTAGTACTACTACTACTACTACTACTACTACTACTACTACTACTACTACTACTACTACTACTACTACTACTGTTCTGCTTATCGTCGTTTAAAGTCGCTATTCGCAAGTAGCGTCTTTATAATGAAGATAACGGTCTTAAAAATGGCTCGTGCCTTTACGTTACTTTGCCCGTTGCATTTTCTGCTCATGGCACTATCATGGCGACTGGCGCGGCCATTAAACCCACAACATCCTACAGCTTGAAACCAAGGAAAGCCCTCAAATCTTACAAACCCAGGATTCGATCTTGTCCCTGCTCGGATCCATCCGGGCGAGGCTTCCAGGTTTTTGCTGAAAGCTTCAACCAGAACTGGTGGCTCCTTGGGCTCCGAGCCACCGGGCACGCCCACGTAAACGTAGGACTGCTGGGTGCCCTTTGGCCGGTTTAGACCGCTTGATTCCAGCAGCTTCAAGCGTTTTAGGCTTTCGGCTATAAGGATTAAGCTGAAGCCATTTTACCGTGTATCGCACTCTCGGATAGCGCGTCTGTGGTCGGAAGGGGCAGAAGTTGAGATATTCCCCTAACGACACACTATGTGAAACATTCCATGTCTGCGACGCATGGTTATAGTCGCCATAGTTTTCATGTATGTCCTGGCAAAGGGGGCCCCCTTTAATTTGAGGAGCCGAGACAGGCGCAGTGCTTCCACTGCGGAGCTGCAAAACCAGGAACCTCCAACCTACGGTGAACCCACGCTCGTCAGAAAGCATGCTTGCGTGCTACAAGTAGCAGAAATCATGGTGAGCAAACCATCATCGACACATGCTCGCTACTCTCAGAAAGCTGGGTTCATGCGCTCTAGTCGAATGCAATTCAAATCGCAAAAACGGATTCCTCACTGTGTGTGGACTCATGCCGTGGCCCCTGTTCAGGGAGCTGTATGACCTTGGAGCCTCCACAACTCGGAATGAAAAGGTAAAGGGTGGATGCCAGGCTGAACACGAAAGGCAACACTGGGAGCAGGCTCGTCTTACTGGTCACCCGCATGCTGAAGGCAAACAATGCCCAAACCAGGCTCACCAAGAACAGCTCGCAAGGGACCAAAACGGCCACCAGCAGCGTCCGGGAGCGGAAGCACTTGTACTTCTGCATCCGCACGCCGACTTTCCAAAGCTCCAGCGACGCCCTCACGGCAAAGACGGCGGATATGGAGACGATGGCGCAATCCATCAGCTGCCGCAGGGTCCAAACAAAGAGCTCGTAGCCTCCCAGCCCAGAGCGGAACTTGATCAACCAGGACGGAATTACATTGGAGATGTAGGGCAAACCACAAGTACCGACCATGTAGATCGTGTAACTTAAAGGCAGCCCGCTGCCCCCGAGGTTTTGTACCACGCGTGGGGCCAGTTGCTTCTGCACCTCGATGTTGAAGGCGTCCAAATAATCCTTGGAATCGTCGTTGCCTCCTCGGCTGTACCATTTCAGCAAGGAGCTGAAGACCAGCCGGCGGTCGCAGGGAAGTGCGGCGCCAGTGTCGGGGTGGACGTGGTCATTGCTACAGCAGAAGCACTGGGCGTCCTGCACCCGAAAGCTGGCGAGCTGTTTCGGCAGCGCATTCAAGTCATGGACCAGGTCCAAACCCAGGTAGAAAACCAAAGGCAGCATGGCGCCGGAGACCGTGAGCAGAATGCCCGTCACAGGAAGGTAGACGTTAAGGTCTTGGGTGGCGCTCCCCTCCTCCAACGAGATCTTGACAAAGCCGTAGCAGATGGCCAGGATATTCCAGAAGATTGCTCCCATAACCAGCACTCCGGTGGCCTTCAGCGGCATGAAGTGGATGCGGCGGCGGTTCTCTGGATCCTTTAAGAAGGTGGCCAGCTCCAAAGTACACCTTGGTCCCTCGTAGGAATGAAGGCCCTTGCAGTTGGGCCTGCTCGGAAACACGAGCCATAAAAAAAATGGTTCTCTAGCCTCTACTTGGAGGATCATGGGACTTAGTAACTATAGTTAAGTCCCTTAATTTGGGGTTATAATTATTTATACGTATAGTTACACCAATAATAACCCTAGCTACTAAGTCCCATGATCCTTTAAGTAGTCCTGACAATGATCAAGATGCCAGAGACGACTGAAGTACCGCGGCGTCCAGAGTACCAAGAGCCTCTGCGAGCGCAGCACGAAGCCGGCAAGGCCTAGGATCCCCTTTTCTTTGAGCTCCGCATCATGCTGCGCGATGCACAGCTTGTCCAGGAAAACCATACGGGATCGGCGGAAGGGAGATTGGAGCTGCTGCCAAAGCATAAGGACAACACCAAAGACGAGATGGCCGGTCAAAGACGTCCATGTCTCGTCTGGTAAGCCCCCGCCCGCCCTCAGGATGCCAACGAGAACACTGGCAGCCAGTGTGGCCCAAAAGGCCGCGCGAGAGTTGTAAAGAATAAGGAGGGACAGGAACTTTAGCGACCGCCTCGAGGCCCAATCGTGGCTAAGAAAGTCGTCGAGACCGGGCGTTGGCTGGCTAAGACTATAATTCTTTGGGTCCACGTGGAACATTCCGCTGTCAGGTGTCTTCCAGTGTTTGCCACAGCCAGAAAGAGCCACGTGGAGCGGAACACCTCGCAGCAGCGAGGGTTCCAAGTTGATGCTGAGCTCCTTCTCATCAACCTTTGTCGAGGCGACATAGGACTCCTTGTCGTCATCCTGCCACAAGGCCCCCGCCGAACTCGAGTCAGAGTCTGGAATCTGGCTGCCCATGGTCAAGCCGAGTGATGACGTCTGGAAGCAGTTCAGGCTCAGCTGTTTTGTTCTAGCCGACACATGTTGACGACCTAAGGTTTAGAGGGTGGGAGAACTTCAAGCGGGGGGTGCGCGGCAGTCTTGAATGTCGAGTTCCTTTGTCTGACCGACTGCATGACAAGCTCGTGATTCTGGCAAGCCAGAATCTCGAGCTCGAAGTCTCTACCCCTCGGTTGAGACGTGACTTCGTCTGAGCCTCAAAACGATTTAGTACCATGCAAGCGGGGCAGTTGGATGAGAAGCTCACTCTGGGAAAGTGGTCATCTTGCCCAGCTCTCCATGTCGCTTGAAATGCGTCTAGTGCGCCTGGAACCCCACCAAACCTCGTCTTAAGGCGAATCGTGGCTAATCACATCACATGACGTTTCTATGAGGGGTCGTCGTCAGAGTGTCCATGCACAAAACGAGGTGTAGGCCAGGCAAGAAGTCCCCACCAAAGGGGTATGCAATGAAGAACTCCACCAGCTGACTGGCTCTCCGCAGTGTATGACCGGGACATGCGAGAAGAAAGAAAGTGCTACAGGAGACTTTGTCTGAAAGAAACGATCCTAAGAGACCTCGTCCTGTTTGTTCACGCCGTGGGGGTGACGAACAGATCGCCCCGCGTGGGTAGACAAGATGCTGCATTCTCTATGTCATGATGTCTTCGCTTGACCGCCTGCATTCGAAAGGTCATGATGTTTTCGCTTGGCCGCCCAGTATTCGCCCTAGCAACCGCGATGGCCAGTTGCTCAAACATACCTGAACACGCCTGTTCACCTCTCTAGTTTGCTTATAGTTTAATCCAAACCGAAAGCCCTCGTCACAAATCCGCAACGAACGCTCACCAAAATCTCTCGCCCTCTTCGGCGGAACCCGGCGCCTGCACTGGCGTCGGTACACGCGGTGAGAGCCGAAGCCCTCGGATGAAACTTGGGCTGTCGGATGCTTCGAAGAGACAAGGCTTCTCCGGGTAGGATCCTTCTGAACATCTATGTGGGCCCCATGATGCCATTTTGGCCCTTGAATCCTGACCCTAAACTTAACCCGAAACCGCCTGGCAAAGCTCCAATGGCTGCACAGCTTGGGAGGCGCCCGCATGTCTGCGCCCGCTGCGGGACTGAGAGCCAGCCTTCTGGATTGGAGCCCTTCTAATCACCGTTATATATATATATATATATGTGTGCACAGGAGAACCTTGTTTATAATCAACCCTGTTAAAGTAACTAGCACTTTCGGGGCGCCGGGGCCCGGCCTTCGCCTCGATTCGAAGCCTCCGGCGCTGTTTGCGCCTGGGTCGAATCGCTTCGGATCTGCTTCGCGAGGGATTGCGACGCTGGGGAGACTAGCGTGACTAGCGATGATTGTTTCAGGTCGCAGAGAACATTAGTAATATTAGGGTACGTACAGTAATGCAGATGCAGGCAAAAGCTTTTGCGTCATGCTTCCTGCTCTTAACCTCCCCTCCTCGACGAGGATTTTCTTGTCTCCGGGTGGTCCGGTGGTCGCGTTGACAATCGTTGAAGGTGAATGGATGCCTCTTGTACCCGGGTCAGGAGACGTCCTAGGGCAGTCTGGGGTGTAGTTGTCGGTGCAGGAATGTGCAGGAGGATCGCTCTCGATCGTTCGGCAATACAACCTTCCGTCGCATCTTCGTTACCTTCTGCCGTCTTCCGACACATCTACGCAGCATATGGCAGTCCCAGCATGCTCGCAAACGCTTGAAAGTCAGGCCCGCGCATTGTGTACTCGTTCACCTGGGTGCATGCTTGAAACTGCCGGGTTTAAAGGACTCAAGCGCAAAGGCGCAAACACTGCCTGTTACGGATACTGCAACAACGACGATGACCACGACGAGGATGACGAGACGACACCAAGCACAATGAGTTGCTTCTGCTACTGCCACCGCCACTACGACTGCTCATGATACTACTACTACTACGACGACTACTACTACTACTACTACTGCTACTACTACTACTACTGCTACTGCTACTGCTACTCCTACTGCTACTGCTACTGCTACTACTACTACTACTACTACTACTACTACTACTACTACGACGACCACGAGGACGACTACGACTAACACGACGGCGGCCAAAAAGGAAACGATGCTTGCAGTCGTGGGGGCTCTACAGTAGCTGTACCATCAAGCTCGCATAGACGTAGCGATGGCAGAGGATGGTGATTTTGAACTTTGCTGAGCCGATGATGCTGCTGACGATGGTAGTGGCATTGTGCTTACGATGGGTAGATGGCGAAGACGGCATCATCTACGACTGCGAGCTTGCGAGCTGTTGTGCTGAGAATGCCTGGGTTTCTTTGCTAATCATGGAACCAAGACGAGTGCACCTTCCTAACATTCCCAATGAAAGTCTCCCAGGTCTCGGACCCACCGCTCCGATAGTACAGCGCACCGGGCCGGCCTGCGTGGCCTTCCAATGAACATGGGAGGGGGCGGACTTCAAGGGAACGCACCAGCCCAGAAACTCGTCTCAGTTCTCCGATCAAAAATCCTTACACCTGAAGCCCTATGATGCCCTAATATGCCCTATGTCTTGCGCACAAAGTTGCAGTTGGGCCCTCGCAGCCACAAGTCATGAGCTCCCCACCCTGGCACACGAAGCCGAGGCCAAGGCATTGAACGCTGGCATGGCGGGGGCGGGGGTTAAGGCAACAGCCGGCGACGTGAACCTGCAATCTGGGTTACTGGGTCCGAACATTGGGTGCGCCTGGGTCTCCGTGTCTCCGTCTGTCTCTCTGCGTGTCTCTCTGTCTGAGCCTTTGCGGTTCATTTTTCCCAATCATTAGTCAACATGTCACCTGAAATCTCAGGCGCCCAAATCTTCATTGCCTAATTAGCGCTCTGAACTCTGAGCAATCCAATCCGAGATCGGAAACTCCGAATTACTCAAACTTCGGTGGTGTGAGAGCCGCCTAATCCCGAAGCAAGCAAGCTACTGCACCAGCACAGGCCTCAAAACCTAATGCACCTTGGACTTGGACGGCTCTTGCCCAGGCCCCGGCGACGTGTTCGCTTGAGGTGGCGTCCGCGCCGCAGGCAGCAGGATCGGCCTGTTCTGCGGTTGACTGTCCGCTTCGCTTCGACTGTAGGTCTAAGCAAATCGCCGAACGGTGGGGGGAGAGAATGCTTCGGGATGTGCGATGGACGGCTTGGCATGGCAAGAACACATAGGCATCGGCTCGTTGAAGAGTTCACCTCCCTGCGACACACCTTTAGACAATGCCCGGCAGTGAAGAACTGCCATTCATTTACGACGCGTGCAGGGCACGACTGCAATGCGCTCCAGATGATGAATGGGCCTGCCCTCGCTATCGAGAACAGCATGACGTGCATGCATCCCCCCACCGTGCCGTCCACACGAAGTTGAAAAAACAGAAGTGCGATCCCCATCTGAACCCCCTGGACATGCAATACAACGCACGCAGGCCAGCAGCGCGCTGAAACAAGCTCCGATCAAAACGAATCACAGAACATGGTCGAGAAAGTAGGAAGGACCCCACAGTGGACTACAGAGATCTAGGGTTCAGATCCACGGCTCTGCTGCCTCGTGCCCGCCAGCTGAGCTGGGCCAGGCGGTTGCGGCGTTCCTGTTCCAGCCTGGCCACAGACACCATCCAATGCGTCCGTGCACGGACATGAACACCAATGCCATTACCATCGCAGTACGACCAAAGCAACAGACATGACAATCAGACCTGTGCTGCATGGCTAGCAGCCAACATTAACATAGTGACAGAAGGAACTCGAGGAGGCTAAACATGTCTATGTTTCAGGCAGCCGACCTGCAAGCTGCCCGTCCTCCTCAGTCAGAGCTCTTGTGTTCAACTGGGGGGGATTTGTTTTTGGCTGCGTTCGGGCCTACACGGCTGTCGCAGGGTGTGTAGTTGCTGGCACCTCACATGAAACCCCTGTTTGCCTAGAGCAGGGAGTGGAATGCTGCTGTTCCAAAAGCTCTTCCAACAAGTTTGTGCCCCGTTCTCAAATTCTCCTTTTGTCTGGAGGCCGAGTCCTCTCTTTCGAGCCCTAGGGTCCTCCTCACAAACTCTAGTTTCCTTCCAGAGGCATGCGGCATGCTCCTCTTTGTCGTATGAGGTCTACCCTCTGCCGGGCGGCTTTCTCAGGTGTTCTTGCTTTTTCCAGGCCGCTTGGACTGCACGTTTTCTCCTCTTCCTATTTTCTCTCGAAGTTTTTTGTAGGTCAATTGTTGTCAATCTCATCCGAACAGTTTGGTTCTGTTTCTCACCTTGTAGATACCTTTCAACTACTTTGCTTCTGCTGTTCCATCTTCTTTCCCTCAAACTCTCTGGTCTCTTTCGACCGCGCTCTTCCGGTTTCTTAATTCTTACGAATGTAATCCTTTTCGGCGGATTTACCCCTCCACAACCTCCTCAAACTCTCCTTTCTGTCAGAATTTCCCTTGGAACCGGCACATTTCTGTCTCTGAAATTTTCTGCCGTGCGTGCGTGCGTGCGTGCGTGCGTGCGTGGGCGGGCGTGCGCGGGCGTGCGTGCGTGGGCGTGCGGGCGTGGGCGTGCGTGCGTGCGTGGGCGTGCGTGGGCGTGCGTGGGCGTGCGTGGGCGTGCGTGGGCGTGCGTGGGCGTGCGTGGGCGTGCGTGCGCGTGCGTGCGTGCGTGCGTGCGTGCGTGCGTGGGTGCTGTGTGGGTGCGTGGGTGGCGCGTGGGTGCGTGGGTGGGTGGGTGTGTGTGTGTGTGTGTGTGTGTGTAAGCGCGTGAGCGTGCGCGTGCGTGCGCGTGCGTGCGCGCTTGCGCGTGCGCGCGTGCGTGCGTGCGCTTGCGCGTGCGCGTGCGGGTGCAGGTGCGTGTGCATGTGTGCGTGTGCGTGTGTATGCTTGTGCATATACGTGTGTGTGTGTGTGTGGGTGGGTGTGCGTGTGCGTGTGCTCCTCTTTTTGAAATTGTCCCTGCCCACTCTCTATCGAACGGTTCGCGCCAATTACTGCTGCCCTTGGACTGGTTCGCTCGCGTCTGAGGCTTTCGGAAGTGTTTGCTTCTTCTTCTCAATTGTTCTACTTCCTTTCGATTGGTCTTGAAATTCTCCTCTCTTTTCCAGTCTCGAGTTCTCTCCTTGTCAGATTGCCGTGTCTCTTTCGAGCGGTTTGCCGATGTTTCTGACATGTTTTGGTCACTTTTGACACGTTTTCGTGTTTCTCAAAGCCTCGTCTTTGTCGGAAGAGCTTCGAGCACTTGACAAAGAGCAAACACCTCCATTTAGGGAAGTAAAACAGCTCAAAGGTTTGCCAACAGCCGCACCTATTCGGGGTTTAGGAAAAGATTGCAGGTTGATAGTCGCAGACTTTCATTCGACGACATTTGCTATAATCGAGTTGGAAAGGTTCACCGTGCAAGGCTGCTGCGGAGGCTTTGCAGGCATTGAATGCTTTGACCGGCTGCTTCGCGACCTTCCCAAATCCCGAAGAACGCCGGCAACATCAATCTCAGTGCTGAATTCACTCCGACAGTGCTGACGATAACGCCAACCAAGAACAACGCAGTTGCAACCTGAATGGGCCCTGCAGAAAACCCATCTTCTCTCGCGTGACTGCCCTCCCCGGCTCGGCTGCCAGCACAGGCAGAGACTTGGCGGCCGAGCTTACCTTGGCACGACGACCCAAGCCCCAGGCAAGGCGAGGAGCAAGGGAGCTTACCTTCCTGAAGCGCCAAGCCCCAACTCTTCTTCTGCGAGCGTGCAGCCATGGGCGGCGCCAACGGCGGCTGCGGTGTCGAGGAGGCGGAAGTCGACGCCTTTGGTCTGAGCTGCGCTTGGGGCTTCTCATCACTGGTTCGGCCTGAGATGCTTGTGCAAGCTTTGGGAGTACTGTAGGAAGAAGGAGACACCACCTCACCTTACGGCCTTGCGGGCCAAAAGTTGTGCAGCCTCTTGAAAAGTTTAAAGACATCACTACACAGGGAAGAAGGGTTACCAATAAATGAACAACCATAAAGCCAGATTGCGAAGTGACTCTACGTCTCTGGAGTTTCTCGGAAGGGATGCTCCGGAGGCACGGGAGACAGGCAGTGACTGTTCGCAGATCCACTACACTGTTCACCAGCTGAACCCCAAGCCATCCCAAAAGCCAGTCTTGTGCCGATCCATCGGAGTATATCGGAATCTTCGAGCCAAGGTCGAGCAGCTTTTCGCGGAACGCGTGCCGCCGTGTGCTATGTGGAAGCAGCCGGAGATTCCAAGATACGTTGGACACCGACGCACTGATGGGAGTCTGTGTTATGGCACGGCTTCTGCACGAATGCTTTGTCTTATGACGGTTGTGCGCCTGTCTGTCTCTGTCTCTACGTCTATGTCTCCGTATGCATGCTATGCATGCTGCCTGCCTGCCTGCCTGTCCGTCTGTGTGTGTGTGTGTGTGTGTGTGCGTGTGTGTCCCTGCCTCTGTGTCTTTGTCGGTCTTTGTCCGTCTCTGCCTGCCTGCGTGGCTGTCTCTGCGTATGTCTGTGAGTGTGAGTGTGTGTGTGTGTGTGTGTGTGTTTGTGTGCGTGTGTGCTTGTTTGCTTGTGTGCATAAACACATGTACATCGGTCCATTTCTCTGTCGGTCCGTCCGTCCGTCCATCCAATGCAACATGCATGCATGGTTTAATGCACACACATGCGCTCAGACTCATATGGCCTAGCTGTACAAGGGTTTAACTCGCACAATGACAAAGCGACAATAGCTGCAACATTTGCACATGCAAATATGTAACGTAGTCTCTGGCTGTGTACTGTTTCGGGCTTCCAAAAGTCGGTAGCATCAAAGACACAGGACCTGTGTTACAACGGCATCCTTGCTCTCAGAAAATCCAAAGCTGTAGGTCAGGCGGACAGATCACACTGCGCCAACGGCCTGGCACAAGTGTGAAAGGCGAGCTCTTATCTTTCTCCGTGCATCAGAAGGCAGGAACTTGGAAAATTATGGCTCCAGCTTCGAATGTCGCTCTTCGACCACCCGCTTGCGGAGGCGTCTGACACTCGCATATTGTTCCTGGAATCTGAGCGATGTTTCCGATACCTTTTTGGCTTGTCGGACTTTAATGCATGGCTGCGTGGCTTTCTCCTGGCTGCCGTGCAGCTCCGAATAAATACATGCGTGTATATATATATACATGTATATATATATATATATATACATATGTCGTTGAGAAACGTCCCGTGCTTCAATACAGTGTATTCTGCACGAAGCCGTCGAGCACACACACACACACACACACACACACACACACACACACACACACACACACACACACACACTATCACAGTGAGGACATCAAGCTGCGAAATGTGCCGCTGGCGAACGTTCACGGAATCCGCTGTTCAATCGTACGGTTTTACAAAATCTTTCGAGTGCCTTCAAAGACTTCAAACATGCAATGCTCCTTCCCTGGTTCTGACGTCGGGGCACGACAACAGGGCTCGATGAAATAGCAGTGATAATGAATGCAACTGTTGAGTCTGCAACTACCAGTGCTGTCAGAAACCTGATCCCTCACAGCGGGATGCAGTAAAGATTGCATTTATATTTGTTCGGATAATGTAGAATTTAGACTTGCATGCATCATCCTGAAGTGCGGTAGATATTCGCACCTAACTGTTGTCTGCTCGAACTTCCGAAGCGGAATCCTTATTTCCAGCCGGATCGTCCGGATAGGTCCGTGGTCACCATCCGACATCTGTAATCATTCTACCACTCTGAGCTATTAGTCATGCTGAAACAGCTCTCTTCGAGACCTGCGCTTCGCACAATGCGCTGGGCCGCGGAATCCTTTCCTCGCTCTCTGTGCAAGACGGCTGCAACTTAGTTGACTGTGAATCAGCAGCCCAGCACATCGTGAATCCTACAGCCATGAACAGCCGTAGCTCTGTGTGTTCTGCGAACTGATAGCTTGGGAGCAACAGCAGCCACCTGCAGAAGCTCTCTTCAGTGAATATGCTGGGAAGCCCCAAGAACTCATACTAGCGAACCATGGCATCCTGTTAACAGGGCATGATCTGCAGAGGCTACCTCTAGGCCTGAACAGCCATCTCTCTCCTGCTCTCCGGGCTTTTCAGGCCGAGTTCGTCGAATTAAACCCTGACTGCCACGCAGTGGGAAAGCAACGGCCCAAAGTCGCGTGGAATCGAAAGCACGAATGCATCCCGAAAGGCACCAGCCCTCATGGAACTCTGCAGCTTTGTCAGCAGCTAAACCTGCTGATCCCAAAATTTTCAGCGTAGGGTCGTCAAGTGCAAATAAGCAAGCTGGCAGCAAGCATCTATAGAGAAAGGGTGGTATGCCAAGGTTGGTTCGCCGAAAATGAGGGCTTGACAATTTTGTTTTCGCAGAAACCGCCTCTACGCAACTTCATATCTGTCATAACTTGCATGGTTGACCGAGCTGCTCCACTCGAAGAAGACTGCTGAATTTGGACCACTCCGCAAGGTAGCCGAAGCACACAGTACACAATCTCGTTCACCACTGCGCAGGCCCATCGAATTCGTGTCAAATGCCATGCGGGAATAGTGGCTTCTCCCCTCTCAGGTGAAGGGTTGGAAAGACTGGTCTGGAACCTTCAAGTTGACCCTTGTAACCGACTATACCACAAGTAGAAGCGAGCTCAAGCATACCCTCAAGTCGAGAAACTGCTGCTCCTCTGTGCTTCAGTTTTCGACGACAGCTTCTAGATCACCACGGCTCCTGCTGCTCGTCGTCTACTGCAACTACAAGGATGACGACTGACGACAGCTTATACCTACTACTACAGTAGTACTAGTACAAGTACCAGTACTGGTACTACTACTCCTTTTTCAGCATGGGCTTTGGTTGTATGCCGGCAAGCTGGGCTCTCAAGGTCTTCATGCGCTCCTACTACTAGTACGACGACGACGACTACTACTACTGCTGCTACTACTGCTACTACTGCTGCTAATGCTACTACGAAGCCTGACTAATCAGTACTAGTTCTGCTAGAATATACCCCAAACCCTCATCGTCTATGCCACAGCTAAATCCCTAGATCGCCACAGTGTCCGCCGTGGCGAGGAGCTGTTTCACTTGAGAGCGGCCGCCCACCTTCCATGACCAAGAACACATCCGGAAGAGCAGGGATGCGGTTAAAATGTCGACTTCAGGGCACACGGTATGGGGGCCGTGTTCCTGCGAAGTACTCTAGATGCAACCAGTGTTTTGAAAGCTGATGTGCACGTGCTGATTGGCTTGTTTTTCAAAGGCTTGCTCCTGTACGAGAGTCAGCCAAACCAATGCGAGTCGGACCAGGCTGGACACCTCTGCAGGAACTTGAAGACAACTCTGCTTCGGACCCTGGGAGGGCCGTAATGTCTTTGCTTTGAAGAAGAAGCTGGACCTGGTACTGCAGACATCCATCGAGGAAGTCCTGCAAGGCTTCAAGCAACAAAGTGATTGCCAAAACGTCCAGCGCAGAACCACGAGGGCCTCTCTGTCTGGGAACGGGGCCGTACTATGCAGCCACTGCAGAGCGGTCAGAGCACCCAAAGGCTCAACCTGTCACCTACCAGTAGCCTCTCACGAGAGGGCCCAAAGTCAAACTGAAGGCGTCCTTCACTGTGTCGGAATCGAAGCCAGCATCCAGCAAGTCCTCAATGTGGAACCTCAACCTCCGCTGTGGCGGTGACTACTGCGACTGAGCTCTACAGAACAGTATAGCATAGACAGGTATAATAGGGACTACAGTGTCAGAGGATGCTGTATAAGCAAAGCCCGGGAGCTCTGAATCAGATCTGATGAGATGCGCAGCCGATAAGGTTCAGGCTTCGATGCTCACACTCGCACAAGCAGGCAAGGCTCAGGGTTTTTTCCCTCCCACCTAGCAAGGACGAAACCCACATTGTCAGGGAATCTCGGTTGAACAGTTGGCATCAGCTATGCTTTCCACAGGGTTTTAGGGTCTAGGGTTCACCAGTGTAGGCTTCACGTTTTTTTTTGCCAGGGTTCATCTTTTGAGGGTTCAGGGTTCCGGAGGTTCCAGCTACTCCAGATCGAATGAACCGAATGCCAAAACGGCAGTGAAATGATGGCCCCAAGCCGCAACGCACCGAGAATGCGCTGCAAAAATGCAGCATCAGAGAGACTCCGACCAGGAAACCGAGTCTCCAAAAAGCATTGGCCCTGCAAACCTGAATATCCCTCAATCCCATTCCCGCACGTAATTACAGGCCAAGCGACAGGTGATCCCAAACAGCCAGCAGCTTCTCCCAGTTGGTGTGAACAGCATCATAGCGGTTCTGTGAGGCTTCGTCCTCGCAAGAGGGCTCTCTTGAGCACAAGCGCGGCTTCCACTGCTTCTTCTCGCCAATGCTTGCACTACGTGTGACCACCTCCGTCGCTGCCGCTGCAGTGAACTGATATGCCGGCAGGTGCAACCACTTCCACAACGGCTTCCGGCTCTGGAAAAAGATTCTGCGGCATCCGTACCACCTCGCCCCTGAACTCCTGTCAATTCCAGACAGAAAGCGTTGTAAACAGGATAGGGGCAATGCCACTTAGCAACCGCTGCACATAAGATAGAAGCAAAACCACACCTGTAAACAGGATTAGGGCAATGCCACACAGCAACTGCTTGCTGTGTGGTTTTGCTTCTATCTTATGTGCAGCGGTTGCCGTGTGGCATTGCCCCTATCCTGTTTACAGCGCTCGTTGTGTGGCTTTGCAGGATAGGGGCAACGCCACACAGCAATCGCTGTACAGAAGGTAGAAGCAAAACCACACAGCAAGCGCTGTAAACAGGCTGGTGGCCAAGCCACACAGCAACAGCTGACATGAGATAGAAGCAACACCACACAACAAGCGCTGTACACAAGGGGCAATGCCACACAGCAACCGCTGCACATAAGATACAAGCAAAACCACACAGCAAGCGATGTAAACATGTTCGGGGCCAAGCCACACAGCAACTACTGTACATAAGATGGAAGCAACGGTACGCCACACAAGTCCCCACACAACGAGCGTTGTGGACAGGACAGGGGCAATGCCACACAGCAACCGCTCCACATCGGACAGAAGCAAAACCAGACAGCCAGCGCCGTAAACAGGACAGGGGCAATGCCACACAGCAACCGTTGTACACAAGATAGAAGCAAAACCACACAGCAAGCGATGTAAACATGTTCGGGGCCAAGCCACACAGCAACTACTGTACATAAGATGGAAGCAACGGTACGCCACACAAGTCCCCACACAACGAGCGTTGTGGACAGGACAGGGGCAATGCCACACAGCAACCGCTCCACATCGGACAGAAGCAAAACCAGACAGCCAGCGCCGTAAACAGGACAGGGGCAATGCCACACAGCAACCGTTGTACATAAGATAGAAGCAAAACCACACCGCAAGCGCTGCAAACAGGATAGGGGCCAAACTGCACAGCAACCGCTGTACATAAGATGGAAGCAAAAGTAGAACAACAACACATCAAGCGCTGTAAATAGGATAGGGGCATTGCCACACTGTAACCGCTCTACATACGAAGCAAAACCACACAGCAAGCGCTGTAAACAGGATAGGGGCAATGCCACACAATGCCACACAGCAACCGCCGTACATACAACACCACACAGCAAGCGCTGTAAACAGCATAGGGAAAGGCCACACAGCAACCGTTGTACATACATAGGATAGAAGCAAAGCCACACTGCAAACGCTGTAAACAGGAAAGCGGCAATGCCACACAGCAACCGCATAAGATAGGAAGCAAGACTCAAGACGACACAGCAAGCGCTGTAAACAGGATAGGGGCAACGCCACAACACAAGCGCTGTAAACAGGATAGGGGCAAAGCCACACGCACCGCAAGCGCTGTAAACAGGGCAGGGGCAATGCCACACCGCAAGCGCTGTAAACAGGACAGGGGCAGAGCCACACAGCAAGCGCCGTCAACAGGATAGGGGCAAAGCCACACCGGAAGCGCTGTAAACAGGATAGGGGCAAAGCCACACCGCAAGCGCTGTAAACAGGATAGGGGCAAAGCCACACCGCAAGCGCTGTAAACAGGACAGACCGCAAGCGCTGTAAACAGGATAGGGGCAAAACCACACCGCAAGCGCTGTCAAAAGGATAGGGCAAAGCCACACCGCAAGCGCCGTAAATAGGATATAGGGGCAACGCCACGCCGCAAACGCTGCAAATCGGATAAAGCCACACCGCAAGCGCTGTAAACAGGATAGGGGCAAAGCCACACCGCAAGCGCTGTAAACAGGATAGGGGCAAAGCCACACCGCAAGCGCTGTCGACAGGATAGGGGCAAAGCCACACCGCAAGCGCTGTAAATAAACAGGATAGGAGCAAAGCCACACCGCAAGCGCTGTCAACAGAATAGGGGCAAAGCCACACGGCAAGCACTGTCAACAGGATAGGGGCAAAGCCACACCGCAAGCGCTGTCAACAGGATAGGGGCAAAGCCACACCATGTCCTGTTTACAGCGCTTGCTGCGTGGCTCTGCCTCTATCATAGGCTTTTTACAGCACTTTCTGCGTGGCTTTGCCCCTATGCTGTTGACAGCGCTTGCGGTGTGGCTTTGCCCCTATCCTGTTCGTAGCGCCTGTTTTTGCCCCTATCCTGCTTACAGCGCTTGCTGTGTGGCTTTGCCCCTATCCTGTTGACAGCGCTTGCGGTGTGGCTTTGCCCCTGCCCTGTTTGCAGCGCTTGCGGTGTGGCTTTGCCCCTATCCTGCAAGGGCTGTAAACAGGATAGGGGCAAAGCCACACAGCAAGCACTGTAAGTAGGATAGGGGCAAAGCCACACCGCAAGCGCTGTCAAAAGGATAGGGGCAAAGCCACGCAGCAAGCGCTGTAAACAGACTAGGGGCAAAGTCAGGCAGCAAGCGCTGTCAGCAGGATAAGGGCACGCTGTGCGAGCCTGTCCAGCGGTCCGACTCAGAAAGCCGATTCGAATCCCCCCGTAGATCCAATTGGAGCAACTCCCGTGTGTGGGTCGAAGGCTTCATCCTGAAGGGTCGTTTCGGGAGATGCAGTGTGCTCCCTCCCACTCGAGGCACTCGCGACGACCGAATCGCATTGGGGGAAAAAGGCATGTAGTCTTAGTCTTAGCATCTAAGGAAGCGATGTTCGACACGCGTGTCGTCCCTCCGGCCTGCAGCCACCATTCGACCTCTGTGCAGAGGTTTCCCATGGTGTCCTGGCATCCAACATGTTGAAGCAACAGTTGCAGCAACAGCAATGTCTCGTACGAGAGCATGATCCCACGAGCCACAGACAAATGCAGCACAGAATCACTTGAAAGTCTCAACATGCATAAACTTGTTTTCGATTCCCCATCTGCTCTGAACCTCCAACTTCAAACTCCTGTCGCTCAACGCAATCACTTCGCCAGGCGTGGCAATTTCTGATTCGAAGTATCGGCAGAAAAAAGTCCTCTCCCGTTTTTTATGCACAAGTTGCGAGCAAGCATCCAGGGAGGAGAGGCCATAGTCGAAGTTTCCGACCGGCTCCCAGCACTTGCAGAGGTTCCTGGGCCAATGTAAGCCCGAAACACTGCAACAAACGTTTCGAAGCGTTTGCTGCAAGGACGTTTTAGATCTGCGGTGACCTTGCTACACCATGTCTGGGAGCTTGCTGACTTTCGCAGCCTTGCTCGACTTTAAGTGTCCAAGGCGAGTGCACGATCTCTCCCTCCCTCTCTTTCTCTCTCTACACTGAACAGGTGGCAGCCAGGAAACTGCGAGCAGTGAATTGGTAATGACAGTTAATGCGACTGGGGATGGGCGTCATCGTCGTCGCCGTGCTAGTCGTGGAATTTCGGTTTCGCCAGGGGTTTGCCTTTCGGGAGGGGTTGGAATTCTGAGCAATAGAAGTCAGCGGAGCGGAGTGCAGACACGCTGGCTACCGGTGATTTGCTCCGTGGGCCTTTAACTCTCTACAACCCACACTGCGGCCGGGCCACGTCTTTCGTGCCATGCCAACGATGGGAGAGACGAGCTCGAGATGATATTTCAGCTCCCTCGCCTTTTGACAAATTAATCTTCTCGTCGTCGGTTCTTGTCGTTGCTGCTGCTGGTTTTATTGTAAATACGGTAGTGTACCATATCCGGCACCAAAAGTCCACTGCTACTATTGCTGCTACATCATCTGTTACGACTCCAATGTCGAACACAAGACAATCAGTTGACTTCTCTTGTGCTTGTTGTTGACTGCATTCCCATTCCAGTCGCCCCGCCGCCTGTACAAGTTCGAACATGCATGAGGCGGGTCTGGGTATTGCGGGGACTTCCGAGGCTGCTAGCTGTACGAATTTTGTAAGTATGACGACTATGACTCGTCTGCCCCTTCTCTCAAGAGTTTCAACGATTCAGCACACCTGTTATTTTGAATGTTGCAGAATCATGCCTGCCTGGTAGGCTGCTCTCGTGTGCTGCTACTGATGAATGTCTTGGCTGTATTACCATGAATAACACCACCACAAGTATCAAGGCACCTACACGACTAACACCCCTGTCTGGAGTTTGGTGAATCGTCGCTGCTGCCGCTGCTGCTGCCACTCTGCTGCACCACTGTTAGCACTACCACTGCTGCAGCAATATTACTGTTCCAGCGACTGTTCGCTAAACTCCATTGCTATCATTCCCTGCTTTCCGACGTTGCTGTTGCTGTTGTGGCGACTGCTCCTTCGTCCGTGTATGCTGGCACCTGCGCCTTGAATCCCCTGGCCCATACTGAACTGCGAAGCCTGAGGTTGAGTTCAGGGTATGAGAGACATAAGGATTGGCGGCTGCTTCGGGGCTTTGAGGGTAGCGGGTAGCGCTCAGGGTGTTAGAGACAGGAGCCCATGGTTCAAAGCCCAGCGGCCATGAGGAAGTCTGGGTCTTCCTGGTCAGAAGGTGGCTCCATGATTCCTGGTCAAAGGTTCCCGGAAACTCAGTCTTGGGGCTTGGGTGTCTATATGCTTTCAAGCGGAGCGTCTGTGTGCAGCCGTAGCAACCAGTGCCGGGCAAAGAATGCAGGGTCGAGATGCTTGTTGTGTTCTGGCATCGGAAACTTCGGTGAGCTGCGCCAAGCCAACGTGACGACACTTTCTTACACACAAAGGCTATGGGTATGTCTCACTTTACCATCCACTGCCCAAACAACCGCGATGGCTGTGTTGTTTCCGCGCCTGGAGGAAATCCGGAAATCTGTTTGCGAGGGGCTTCGATCAGAAAACTGGACGTGTGTTGAGAGACCAGATCAGCCCACCTCCAATAACTCCTAACACCACAAAAAAGCCAAAACTGTACAGCCTCCGTTCAAGCCTTCAACCCTCAAAAGCGCATCTGACTTGAATCCTCAAAGTCTTTCCGCCCGGCATAGCCCGGCCCAAAGTCGAAAATCACCGTTCCGCCTGTCATCCTTCAGGCCCCGAATACTGCAACACAATCTACAAAAATACCCTGAAGCTTGCAACAACCCTAAGTCCCTCTCTCTCTTTCTTTCGCCAGGGTTAGGGTGTAGGGGTTTGACCCCCTCTCTCTCTCTCTCTCTCTCTCTCTCTCTCTCTCTCCAAAACTACCCCACGCTAATATATAGGTTACTCGAAGGAATGGTATTCTGGGTTCTTGACCATAATACGGAAACCTTATTATTCACTATAGATCCCTATTTGTGGTAACTTAAATTAAACCCCCTAATAAGGTCCCAGTATTGGTAGTTGTTCCCCTATTCATAGTACCCCATCCAGGCCTGCATTCGGATCCTCTTCGCTGCCCGGGTCCGAGCAATGACCTCAAAGAGTCCGGGGGGGAGATCAGGGATAGGTAGTGGTAGTGGTAGTGGTGGTAGTCGTCGTCGTCGTAGTAGTCGTAGTAGTAGTCGTCGTAGTGGTGGCGCGTGATTCGGATTTCTGGTTGGAGCGTCTTGCACTGTAAATACATGACTAGGATATCTGAAACAAAGGTTTCGAAGTGTCTTTGTCCCTGTGGCTACGACGAACCTTGGAAAATAATCACATCATGGGCACACATTCCAGATTCAAGATGCTTAGTTAGTTAGATTGTCTAGTCCTTGGGTCAGTTCGGTTTCAAGTCTCACAATCGGCTGTATTGTTTTGCTGCCCTGGTGTTGCCCGGTTATGCTCCGTCGGGCTCTCCGTGTCGCAGAGATGGCGGGTTTCGGGATATGGGGTTTGGAAAGAATTGAGGGTTAGACTCTCAGTCTTTCCGGGCCCCTAAGCAAGGCATCCTACCCCAAAGGTCTAGACTACACAAGGCTCCCTGAGTTTACGGACACCGGCCGTTGAGGTTGTTGCGCCTGCCTACTTGAGAAAGGCCGGCCCTGCAGAAACTTGACACGAAATCTCTGGAGAAGTCTTTCTTTGGTCAAGCCTTCCTCGAGCCTCCCCAAGAAATCCGGATATCCTCAAAGAGACCGGCAGAAAACGAAACCAGCAAGACAAGGGAAACCCTGAGCCTGCGTATCAAGCAACAGCTTCACAAGCCCTTCCGAAAAGAATGTGACATGCCCCTTCATATTTCTGACCCACATGGGGCAAACACACACCACAACACTACTGCAGACGGCTCAAGAACGCTAGCCCGGCTGCCCTTCCACACCAAGCGGAGGTACCTGAACCTTTCCTCACAATGCCATGTTTGTCGCCCGCCCGTATGTACTTGTATGTAACTAAATCGTTACCGATCTCCTACCTTTCCTGAATCAGAACAACTTTTTCATGCACCTCAACCCCGTGTAAGAGGCGTTTTGGGTTTAGTCAGCCTAGTCCTTCTACGGATCCTGAAATTCAGAGCCGGAGAGGCAGCCAGAAATATCCGCCCCACACCACGGTGACGCCGACCGGGCCTGCCAGCTCGGTTCACCAAACTGGTTCCGTAGCTTGGCGTGCAGGCCATGATGGGGAAGAGCGCTGAAGACTTCGCACAAGACTTTTGGACCCAACTTTCGTGCAGCCTGTCTCAGTGTTTTACACTGCGAAGCTGTCCAATTGAAAGAACAGGCATGGGAGGCCAAGCGGGACCAGCAAATCAGGACATCGGGTCTTTAATCAGTGCACGCTACACCATCCCGTCCCCCGAAACTACAGATAATACTCATACGCCTTTTACACCTAGATGACCGTAAAGCCTGAGTGACACTACACCCGCATTTACCTGGCCTCCCCCTGCATTCTGCCACGTACAGCCACTTGCAGAAGTTTCCTTCGAATTCTGCGAGTGCCATCAAGGCGGCTCGCACGACGTTCGGGAGCCCTTATTGAGAAGAGAGGATGCGATATGACATAGTGGAGGGTATCCGATTCTCTTGCAAACCTCGATACCTGTCACAATACGCAATCATATAATCACGCAAGGATACAGGCATACTTCCATCCATCTCTCAACCCGTCCATACAAACCTGCAGACTTACGTACATACATACATACATGCGTAAGTGCACACGCATACATGCATGCCTCTTTCTGTCTACATGCATATGTACCCACATAATCTCATGAAGCATACACAGCCCTGCAGGGTCCCTGCGAGAGACGGAGGGACAGATTGGGCTTCCCGAGAAGTTGCAAATGCACTTCGCTCAGCTGCAGAGTCTCCCGGAGGTGCGGAGGGATATTCTAGCGGCCTTGAGACTTAGAAGAAGGTTTTGGGCTTGTTTATATATACTATAACTGTATTACGGAGCCTCCGAAATAGTTTTGGTAATTATGTAGGCCCCGATATTATGCGGGTTTACATCAGGGAACCTGATTCCGACATACTTATAGGATTCTACTATTCCCTACTATTTGGGACTATACTTTCCATTGTATGTCTGAAACTCCCATTTGTGGGGAGCTCTTCTACAGATCCGTTCAAGAGAAATTGAGGGCTGCGGCTGAACCTGTGATCAGAGGGTACGTGGTTCAGGGTTCGGCATGGGCTCAAAGGAGTTCCAGTTCCAGCACATGATACAAGTCTCACAGCAATATCTCTTTTCTTCCTTATCATATGTAACATATCATATGTAACATCCCCGCCGGGCCACCAAGACGACAACATGCAGATGAGGGCGGCGAACAAGAGTAGAGGCAATACACAGCAGGACGTCCTGCAAGTTCAAAACAGCTGAGAATGTGGGGACCTCCAATTTGAACACCAGGAGTCTGTCTTCGATAACTCGCTCCTGGACCTTGCAAGAATAATTGCTGAGCCACAGAAACCAAAACTGTTCAACTGTAAAGCCTTCACTAAAGCCCTTTTTGAGCACGGGCTTGAGTTGTACCCTAAACCCTCAACCCGGGCCCCACGTTCTCTATGGAGGGCGGTACGGACGCTCGAAAGCGACAGGCTGTCGGAAGTGGGCAAGGAAACTTGCGGGTTGGGGTCCGGAATCATTGAAGGACCTGCTCTTCCCCCACCTTAAGGATTTTAGGGCGATGCGGCTTGGCAGTTGATATAGGCTTGGGATTCAAGGATGACCCCCTTGCGCTCGTCACTGGTGTCTTTTGCATCGAAACTGGCCCCCCTCACAATCCGGACCTTGGTGCCAACAATCAAAGCCTTCGCGACGTGTAGGACCGGACGCAGGGTCCTGGGTAAGAGGGCCTGAGAAGCACGTGAACAAAGGAACTGCCACGAGAGCCGCCCGTCGAGGGGTCCGAAGCCTCAAGAGTTAGTAGGAGGTTCTGTTCTGCTCACGTGCTTCTTTTGGCCCCTTGTATTCCCGACCTCAGGCCAAGGATTCAGAAAAGATGAGCTGCACTGCAAGTACCTGAAGGACTTGAGCCCTGAGGCATTATGATTGTCCGAAAAGCAGAGAAAGGAGTGCTTTCAGGGGAAGCCTACAGGTCTCGTTCGGCCTTAAAAACACTCTTGTCCGCGCGTCAGGGTCTTAAACCTTATTGAAGAACTCGTAAACACTGACATGGCTTCGTTGTGCTATCCTTCCTTGTGGCAGTGAGCAGGGCAGCTGTGAAAAGGAGCCAATGCTCCGCAGGCTCCCAATTCCGTCTGGGCCCGGCGGGGCTGGCGTTGAAAGTCGAAGCCTTGAGGAGCCAAACGTCTCATATATATATATATATATATATATATATACATATATATATATATACACATACATACACACTTCTGAAACGCCTGCCCCTGAGGGACCCTACGGTGCGGTGGCCACACCCAAAACGCCTATCCACATATCTCGGAACTTTTACTCTCCCTTCTCGGAAGAACAGAGCTGGGCGGGACGCCCTGCTCTTCACTCCGATCTCCGACAATGAGACCGTAAGGCCTTCCATCGGAGCTATGTTAAAATCATCTCTTTTCAAGCGACACGCTTGACCATGTTCAAATACTCCCGATACTCAGTCACCGGAACATGTAGCTTCCAGCGCAGCAAAGAAGTGAAGTAGACCTCCAGGCTGTTGAGCTCCCGAAGTGTAAGGCCGCAAACCCGAGCGTAGTGGGCGTTGCTGAAGAAAAGGTCGTCCTGTATCTTTGCAGCAACGACCGTAGCTACGGCCAAAAGCCGATGAATGGTGAAGTTGTTCACCACAACGACGGGGTTCATCTTTACTGCTCGATCGATGTAGACGAGGGCCAGCAGCAAACATGATTCATGGCACTGGAAGTACTTGGCCAATCGAGTGAGGTACTGCTCGATGCCAATGCCGGGTGCGACCTTCGAGTGGAAGCGAGAAACCACGTCCTGCTTCCCAGTCCCAGTCTCCACCTCAATGAAGGACGAGTACACGGAGGCCAAAGCTTTGCAAAGCTTGCCAACATCCATTGCGATGTCGACTCCTTCGGCTTCCTTCGGGACCTCCTCTGCCATCGGCATCTCGGTATCTGCAGTCGCTGGCTCAACGACTGGCTCAGGCTTCTCCTCTGTGTGCGACTTTGGCAACTCCTTTGCTTGTGGCTTCTTTGGCAACCACTTGCGGCCACTCATCTTTCCCTTCTTCTGATTCGGGCCGCGGCAAAGGTAAAAGCTACCGGTCATCTAGGAACTTACGCCCGGGCAGGTCTCACGACTCTCTTTGACGCTGAAAGCCGGGAAAACTAACTGGGAGAACTTGAGCCGCAGCAGTTTCCGAACGCTTGAAGTTCCTGTGCTCGGCTCCACGAAAGGCTGGCAGCTGGCAAGGCCCAACCCACTTCTCCGTGCAAAACTTGCGAGCCTTGAGGTCGATCACCAACGGCGGGGCTGCTTTCTTGGCTTCTCGGAAGTTCTTGGAGCCCCTGCAAAGAGAGATCAAGGTTTCGGTCTCTGGCTTTGTGAAGACCTTGTGATTCAGAATGCTTCGCCTGCACTCCTATGACCCCAAACTTCTGCAAACCTCTAGCATCACACAAGCTGCCAAGGATATTCAGGGTTGGGCTCAGCCTGTTAATTCTTTCTCAATTTAAACCCGCTGTCGGTGGCCCAGCAAATGGTTGCCGAGTCTGGGTAAGGGGCAATTGCGCTTCCGGCACTAGATCAACTCTCCGAAGACCTCACGCGCTCCTGGTCCTGCTGAGCCTACAACAACGACGACGACTCCTACTACTACTACTACTACTACTACTACTACTCCTGCTACTACTACTACTACTACTACTACTACTACTACTACTACTACTACTACTACTACTAGTACTACTACTACTACTACTACTACTACTACTACTACTACTACTACTACTACTACTACTACTACTACGGTCGCAGTCCTCAGTTTTGTTCCCCATCATTGTAACGAGTCGCACAGTATAAACGGAAATATGCGTACAGCTGCCACCATGAGCGCCAGTAAAATGGACTCAGCGGATCCATGACAAGCAGCCGGCGCAAGTACTTGCGCCAAATGTGGCCCTGATACCTTGGCCGTTCGATAATCACCGAAAGAGCCCAAACTTTGCACCGCGATTCTTACTGTTGGTTGCAACGGAACAGATTCTTGAAAACGCGCACAGCAATCTGGACGCCTGAGGATTGGCACTTTCTTTAGTGCTAACAGCCTCACCCATCCACATGCAGATCCCAAACTGCAGGAGGATCTGCTGTCCGTCGCAGGCCCGGGGGGTTGGGCCGTTTCTGGAGCCGAGGGACTGGAAGACAGCCACCCACGCCTCCGAGCGTTCCTGAGTCTCAGCTGTCATGAAATTTAGGGGACAGATGCAAGACAGATGCAAGGCTGGCTGCCGTTGAGCTCATGAAAAAAGTGCCCATGCTGCTTTAACCCCAAGACATTGCTCCTTTTCGGGGGTTGCTGTGCTTGAAGGTTTAGATGTCAATTTAGGTACTATTCAATCTACCCCTGAACTCACCATCCCACTTCACGTAACGCCTGCCAAGAAGACAGTAGGAGCCCTTTGAGGAACCCTTAAAAGGCATGAGCTTGGCCGCGCCACGGACCACATGCCCCAGCCAAGCACAAAGCTCCCAGCCTCTCCAAGATGCGGTCTACTGAAACGCCAAAAGCACCGCTTGCTCTGAAACCCTCGTGGTCCCTTATATGAGCGATATGTTGGAACCCCGTTTCTTCATGGATACTCACCGGAGTTTGCATGTCTACAAGAACGTCGTACGGATTCCAGTGGCCGTTGAAATGAAATGACAATTCTTGTAGCATCAACCCCAGCTACGGGTCTTGCAGATGCTTTTCGGGTTAAGGGTCGTTTGGGGCTGAGGGCTTCAGGGTTTCGGGCTCCAACTTGCTGGAACAGGCACTGGGCTCTACTATAGGGGCCTTAATAATTGGAATAGGGCGTTGAGGAAAAATTACACCGTTTTCACAAGAATATTACTAGTTATTCGGGCCCCTATAGTACATGGATACGCTGCAAAACTGGAAGATATTCGACATTTGTATCGAAAGCTCCTGTGCCAATTCATCACAGAAGTCCAGTGGGCCGAGTCTAGCCGATGTCGAAAACCTTAACCCCCAAACCCCAAGACCCTGATAGTAACCCTGAAACCTTATGATAACCCCGTGCAGTCACCCGAACCCCCTTCCCTTTTGCAACAACTGAATCGGAACACGCATGGAAAGCTTTGGTTCTGGCCTCCTTGGAGAGCACCTCTACCGGGGACCAGCCATTGCGAGCGTCGATCATCAGACGGGGAAGATCCTGCGGCTGGTCTTGTCTTATACTATCCTAGCTTACCATTCATTATAAACATGCTCAAGTGTCTCCGTCACGGGATTCTCACACGCTGCAAGTTGGGTCTGGGGATTTCGCCAGGTGGCCGTGTCGAAGGGATCCCCGCCGCGTGGCTTCCCGGAGCTGCGAGAGGAGGTGCGGGTGGTACGCTGCATGGCTGAAAGATCGGGAGAGGTCTACAGGGTCAAGGGCCCTTTGAGCATGCAAAGGCTGAAGTGCAGCCGACGAATTCGTGGCTTTTCATGTTCCCACCGATGGAAGCATTGCAGCTAGTGCATGCAGCATAAAAGACTGGACGCCAGGCACACTTGGTTGCCTTTAAGAGCGAAACCCAAAGACACAACATCTCCTCTCATCCACGGGCCAAGAAACCCTAAACCCAGCAACCCACAGGCCCGAGGCAGAAATCACGCAGAAGACAAAGCGAATAGCTGCAAACATCTGAAACACTGTGCAGAAAAGGTTTGGTTCCAAGCAGTGAGGCCGTCAAGGCCTCAACCCGCTTAACTAACATGGAATGATGCCGAAAGCGTCGTTCGTTCATCATGCTTTGGTTTGGTATTCCATCCAATATATGTTGCGCCTGCATGAGCACCGGCGACGGTAATAAGATCAAGCAGAACAACAGAAACATCGATGGCAACAGTCGTTCTTCTGCATCTTGTGCTCCTTTGAGCTTCCTAAAAGCAGTTTGCAACTACATCTCAGGTTTCTCAGGCCCATCATATCCCATCATCATCTACCTGGGCCCCCAAAGTATGCAGAATAGTAGCCTTTTATAGGTTTTGGGCCATTATTTTACCTACTTTTGGGGGGCCTAGGTATCAGCCCTAATTAAGCCTTGCTCAGTGGCCGGCAGGCCCCCCTGGCGGCCCTGGCATTGGCATCGACCGCCGTGGCGAGCGGAGGATCGGGGCGGCGCTCGGCGGCGTCCAGCTGGCCCTTGGGGCTTCTGCTTAAAGGATCATGGGTGACTTAGTAACTATCTATCTATCATTATATATATATATATATAGTTATAAGTCCCTTAATTGGGGTCTCCTACTTGGCTTTGGAGTCGGTTTGGAGTTTGGGACTTCTGGTCTTCTTTCACACCTGCTCGCTGACGATGTCGTACTGCAAGCAAAACACTACTAGTAATCGGTCGGAGAAGACAACCCGCGGCGAACAACCAGTACAGACAAGAAGGACCGCAGCCACACCGAACTCGCAGGAGAAACCTCAAGAGCAACAGGGCTCCTCAACCAGACCGAACACAACCCTGATGCTCAAGTGAAGAGGGGCTCATTACACGCAGCCGATCGTCCGCTGAGAAGAGATTTAACCATTTAGTAGCCGAGATCCGAGGACAAACAAACAGAGCTGTGAACCCGTCGCTGAAAAACACAGCAACTACAAGAAAGCACACTCATAATTGAGTTCGGCAGACAACTCAAAGACAAGATGCTCGCAAGATCTGCGAGACGAATTCTGCGCCGTGCGGAATGGGCTACCTCGTTTGCAGACCCTTGCCTGGTCCAAACAAAGCCAGAGAACGCGAGTTTCGCATCAACTGAATTTGGTTTCCGCGTGCTAGGTCTGCAAGCCGATGCCGTAGGTCGAAGAAAAGTAAGAGTCCGGTGCACCAGATTTTGCTTCTGCTCAGACTAGTCACGCCATGCGACGTGAGCTGATAGCCCGTTCCTTTGGGAATGAGATCACCCGAGATAAAAGGCTCCAGTAGCATCTGGGGCATCGTGCGGTTGGCACACTGGTTTGCACTTCACTAAAGAGCTTCTCAGAGTCTCACAGCGCCTCTCCGCTGCCACAAGGGAGTCTGCATCCACTCTTTTTGAAACGCCCCAGATGTTGGGAACAGGGTCCAGAATCGTCTCATGAGGTGTGACTTCTTCTTCCTCTTGCGTCTTCCCTTGAGCTGTATGATGCGGCATCACGCCACGGCCGACACTCGTGCTGCTTGACCCGGCATGAAGGGTCTGCAATCAGCGATTGCGAAAGTTCTTGGATAGTAAGGGACCTCGTCCTGCAATCTACTCACACCCCATACAACCTCCGGCTCGTTCGGTCATTCCGGGTTCCCCGGCGTAGATGCGACAAGCCGCGTGGGTGACACGGAGCGCGGGTTGCTCGCCAAGGGGACACCTGCTGCGCAGGGCTCTTTAACAAGGATGTTATCACACATGAACTTCAGCATTGGATCCGTCGACCAGTTCTAAAGCAATATACTCACACAACAAACCCAGAGTAGGATGTTCGTTCGGACTGTATAATGACGAAGGATCTCAAAACCTGACAACACAAGGTGAGCCAATTTTGGGTGGGGACCCCCGAACCTGTTGGGATTAAGTATTTAGCCCAGACGCCTTGTAGTCTTAGAGAGTGAACTCATGCAGGAGAGGCGTTTGGGTGTACTTCTATGTGCGTCTAGGTGATTGCTGACGAACCAACCCCAAACCTCAACTTACAAACCCAAATCTGGCAAATCTTGCTCTAAGCATACCTAAAGCCAAACTCCTAAGCCGAACCTCAAGACCCCCAACCTAACCCTGCAGTAAGCCACAAATCGAAAGTTACATGCTGAGGGAAAAGCTGGTGACCGCCCGCCATGGCGTTGGTGCTGTGATGACCTCCCCAGCCGAAGAAGAGGCAGAGGTTTGTACTAGACAACACGTGTGTGCCCACATATATGTAGAGAGAGAGAGAGAGAGAGAGAGAGAGAGAGAGAGAGAGAGAGAGAGAGAGAGAGAGACAGAGAGAGAGAGAGAGAGAGAGAGAGAAAAGAAGAGAACAAATACTGACGCACGAACCATAGTGCAAGTAAAACCTGGTACTGAGAAACTCGCACTGAAACTAATC